TTATTTTAATTCGAAAGATTATTTTAGCCAATTAAAATAAAGTTATCTTATTATTATTATTATTATTTATTATAATTATTATATTTATTGAGATAAAAGAATAAAAATCAAATTGTATTAAATATATAAATAAAATGGAAGAAAGTGTCGATATGAATAAATGTTCATCAATATCAAAAGAATCAAAACGTCGATTATCAGATAGTGAAAAAGCAGGAAAAAAACCTATTAATAAACGTTGTCGTAAACGATCTTCAAATGAAAAGATAAATGAAAAAAATCAAATTCCAATATTTACAGATGCATTTCTTGATTTATTTCGTAAACAAAAAAGTGAAATACGTTCACTTAAATTAACTTACAATCAATTATCTGAACGTTTTAAATTAAAAGATGCTCAACAAGAACAAATTCGTTTAGATAATCAAAAAATGCGTTTAGATATTGAAGAAATTTCTCAAAAAAATTATTTTTTAAAAAATCAAATTGATCAAATTCAACAACAATTTAAAGAAACATTTCATCAAGATATAAATAAAGACTTTTTTTTATATTTACGTCAACATCAAAATGATCAAGACGACATCTATCATTTGAAATTATTTAAATTAATTAATTGACATTGAAATTTTTAAATCTTTATTCAAATAATAAAAATTGACTAATTTTTATCAATTATTTAAATATTATTTGTCTTGATGCCTTTTTTATTTTTTTATATTAATTAGTATAGTGTTGCTTGATTTAGTTATCTTTTTTTCAATACATTCTTATATGAATTTGCGTCAATCTAAAAGAGAAATATTTTAGTGTTCATCAATATTCAAGTTCAATTTATATAACATTATAAAAACTTCGAAAATTATTATGTTGATTATCATCATAGTAAATTATTGTTAAGCTTCGTCGGAAAAATAATAGAGTTCGATTTGTGTTTAATTATATCTATTCATGGATATATTTACAGATTTTAATTGATTATTAAAGATTTTCTTTATGATTCGTACTATTCATTTATATTTCAATACAGGAAATTCTTTTAAATAAATCGTATTGTGAGAAGAGAGTTTTTTTGTTTTGAACTTTGACTGATGATAAAATTATGTTAATATTGCCGAAGTACATACATAGTAATATCTATTAAATAATTGAATTAATTCAAGTATAATTATGTTATATTCGTTATCTGTATCATTTAATCAACGATTAAAAAATATTTTAAATCATGAAAAGAAAATATTTTAGCATCATATCAACATAAGATTAAAGGCACAAAATTTTCTATATGATGTTGTGCACAAATTAACTTGTAAAATGTGTTGATAAATTAGGGTTTGGATGTGAATACGGATCATGTTGTTGATGAAGGTACACAAAGTATTCGTATTCATATTCCCTTTCTCTATTACTCGGTTAATTCTTGATTCGTAAGCAATCAATAATCGCTTTGTTTTGTCTGTAAAACTATATACAGTTGAGTCATTCGAAGATGGCTAACTTATACATTTTAACATGTCTTTGTTTCGTATAATATCTTAATAAATTAGTCATTATTCGAGAACATAGTGAGAAATCAATCGATGATCAAGAACGAACAATCTCCAAATAGTCTAATCGAGATCACAAACTGATTGTCACGATATAAATTAATTGAGACTATTTATTTAATAAAATAGAAATGTAGTAGAATCCTTACTAGCAAGCAGTTATATGTCACTTCAATAAAAATTTGTCTTCCAAATTATGCTGAATTCATTTAGGATTAGTTCAGATTTCATGATACTGCATTCATTCACAATTATTTTATCATGTTTCTCTACAAGTTCCCGACAGATTTAAGTTTTACGCTAATGTTTATAGAGACGATGACTGTCTATTTATAATAATCTCCAATGGTTGAAAACTTCTATTAATTGCTATCTTTGTTTATATAAAATAAAAATTTCTGCTACATAAAAACCAGTTCTTTCAATTTCTGTGTTATAATGTGACTCGAGACGACTGATACTCAAAGATTTGTTTTTCGTTTGAGTTTCAACAATGTATGTAACTAGTGAAAATTCAATGAGAAACTATTTACAAACGCATATATTGTATATTGATGTACAAGAGAAAAGAAAGGTAAATTGTTCTTTCATCTTTATTTTAGAAAATTATCAATCTAATTACGTGAATATTTTTAATTTACTTTTTTCGTCAGTTTTAAATAAACAAATCCTATCGAATGATTATTGAAATATTTATTTATTGAACAAAATAGTATAGGAAAAAAAACAATAAAATCATATTTGTCATGTTTAACCCCAGTACTACCAGCCTGGGTCATTTTTGACCCATACTCAAAAATTTGAAAATGCACCAGCGATTTTTTTGTTATCTCATAGTTTCCGGAAGCAACTAGTATTTCTTATGAATTGATATATATATTGCTGCTATAAATGCTCTGACCACACGGAAGTCGAAAACTCTCAATGAAATCGAAATAAAAGATATCCACGTCGAGTATGCGTAGAAGAATTAAAACTAACAAGGGAACTTTCCCAACTGATTCTAAGCTTTCGTATTCATCTTTTGGTTATAAGTAGGTCTCAGCAAGACTACGAAAACCTTAGAATCGTTTGTGCTTATAGCTCTTCATTCGCAAGATATGGTTTCAGAGATGTCGTGAAAGAATGAATCTTTCATTTTTGAAATTCCCGTTCATCCATAACTCTAATAGCTTGGAACGTAAAGTATGTCCCAAAAATGGTTCCGTCAGTCTTTGAACTGTCAAATTTTTAAATCTTCAACTATATTCGGTTATAAAATATCAAAACATCAATAGTTCCAAGTTCCAAACTATTAAACTTATAAAGGAATGATAATTTCAAAAAATGAAAGATTCATTCTTTCACGACATCCCTGAAACCATATCTTGCGAATGAAGAGCTATAAGCACAAACGATTCTAAGGTTTTCGTAGTCTTGCTGAGACCTACTTATAACCAAAAGATGAAACCGAAAGCTTAGAATCAGTTGGGAAAGTTCCCTTGTTAGTTTTAATTCTTCTACAAATACTCGACGTGGATATCTTTTATTTCGATTTCATTGAGGGTTTTCGACTTCCGTGTGGTCAGAGCATTTATAGCAGCAATATATATCAATTCATAAGAAATACTAGTTGCTTCCGGAAACTATGAGATAACAAAAAATCGCTGGTGCATTTTCAAATTTTTGAGTACGGGTCAAAAATGACCCAGGCTGGTAGTACTATGGTTAATGCAATGATATTTACACTTCATTTCTATATGCTTCTCATAGTAAAATTCATTTTCTAGCATAAAACGGCGTGAAACAAGGGTTTTTACCTCCTATAATGAAGGTTGCAACAGTATTCTTTAGTTTGTACTATACATAGCACAGTGATGTGCAGAAATTAGAATTTGCTAATGACCTTCATGGAAACGAAAAGAGTATGTACGTGAGGTGAGTGCGCGAGTATGAATGTGAATGTGCATTAGGAGAAGACTGACACCCTTATCCACATCCAGCCTAGTTTTCAAGTATACTATATACTTTGCTTAAGAAGAAAAGGCGAAACAATTCGGATCAATGCGTTGAGAATCACCTAAAACTACGATTGGATTAGAAAAAGGATTGAACGAAGCTGATTAATCAGTTTAAAATGACGAAATGGTTGAATCTGATTAGTTGTTGCGTCAGAAGGAAATTAAAGCGAATTCATCAAGTAGAAACTTCGCCTAAATCTAAATGCTTTTTCCAAGAAAATAAGAAGTTGAGACAAGTGTTTTCTTGGTGATCGACTCTAGATAACTCGAGTTGATTTTAGATGTTGTCCCCTTGGCAAGGTCTACAAAGCATTTTCAAAGTTACAAATCGTTGTGAAAACCCTTCAGTAGTTTGGGATATTCTACGACACTTTTTGAAAAATCGATCAATGCAAATTTGATGAAAGGCTGGTAAACTGTCAAACATGCGAGAGATCACTAGAAAATACTGTGAAATTCTAAGAAACGTTGCACAAATCCTGAAATCTATCAAATCGTAAACTGAATTTCGAATATTTCGGAAAACTCTCTAGAAGAAATTCGGTAAAAAAATTAGTTAGTTGTAAAGAAACTATGGGAATTGCAGGCAGTGACCAGCAAATTGCCTCGAAATTCCGAAAGAATCGGAAAAGTTTTGCAAGATTTCAATGCCTTCCGCAAAATCTCAACAAAATTCCATTAAATTCCCGAAAACTACACTAAGATGTGCAAAAATTTATCGAGCATTATTTCTAACAGAATTTTCTTTTTTATCTATTGCAGTTTTCATCCCGAATATTCCTGCAAACGCCAGATGGGCAGAGAATGGTGTGACTGTTGCCGGAGGATACGGACCAGGTAATGCATTGAATCAACTCAATAAACCTTTGGGATTGTATGTGGATAATGATCAAACTATTTATATCGCTGACAAAGACAATCACCGTATTGTTGAATGGAAGCCTGGTGCAATTAGTGGTAAAGTGGTGGCTGGCGGCAACGGACCAGGAGGCCGAGCTGATCAGTTGAATGAACCATTGGATGTGATTGTCGACAAAGAGACAGATAGTTTCATCATCTGTGATATGGGAAACAAACGGGTGATGCGATGGTCTCGTCAAAATCGAACTAGTGGACAAACAATCATCGACAATATCAACTGTAGCAGATTGACGATGGACAATCAGAGATTTCTTTACGTCTCTGAAGTCGACGAGGTGAGGCGATATGGAGTGGGAGAGACGAATGGGACAGTGGTGGCGGGTGGCAATGGACGAGGTGATCGTCTTAATCAACTCAGCGATTCCACACATGTTTTTGTGGATCAAGAGTATTCTGTCTACGTCTCAGACTGGGAGACTCATCGTGTGATGAAATGGATGAAGGGTGCGAGAAAAGGGACTGTTGTGGCTGATGATGGAGAGGAAGGAAATGCTTTATCGTATTTATTGATGCCTCAAGGAGTGTTCGTGGATCAGTTGGGCACATTATACGTGGTAAATGATGGCAATGATAGCGTGATGCGATGGTATAAAGGAGCGACACAAGGAGATGTGATCGTCGGTGTAAATGGTACAGGACAAGAAGCAAATCAGTTGAGCAATCCCAAGGGATTATCATTCGATCGACATGGCAATCTCTATGTTGTTGACCAATGGAATCATCGAGTTCAACGATTCTCAATTATGAAATAGTATTGATTGTTTGGATTTTTATGTTTCACAAATGAGTGAATACTGTTTTCGATGTTCTTTTGTTTATTATGAGAAAATAAATAGGTTTTCTTGAAAAACATTTTTTCAACTAGACTATCGCTTCTGCACTAATACCTCCACGCTCATTCATATATATAATTAAACACGCACGCGAGGATGTGGGTAAAGAAAAGAATCACTCACATCCAAATTTGTAAAATAGAAAAATTTATTGGTCATGTTTAAATTACACTCGGTTAACCAAAAAAACAATCAATGAGAAGGTTATTGGCTATCATAGAAACAGGCGAATATTAGAAATGACGTCAACACAAAAAAGTCAACTATTTGTGCTCTATTTTTTTTTAAATAAGAATAATTTTTTGTTCATATTTTTGCTTATTGATTGTATTCTTCCAATTCAATTTGAGTCATTTGTGGTTTATCCGGCAAAAATTCAGCTTTAAACTTCGATATATTTCTAACTTGAAATACAGTATAAGGCATAATTAATATTTCTCCATCATTAGCATATTGAGAAGAATTTTCAATATGTAAAGCAGTTCGTTTACGTTTAATCTGATATATACACATCACCCATGATTTAATCACTTTTCCATCGGCTTTATGACGAGATTTTGTACCAGCTTGTTCCCTTACTTCTTCTTGTCGAATTAAAAATAATTCGGCAACTTTTCGATCAATTGATGAAGACAAAAATGATTTCGTCATTAAGCAAGAATTAACTGCATACTTTTTGAGATCATCAATGTTCTGTCGCATTACTCGATAAGCAGGACCAATAAATGTATAATTATCCAAGATAGGATGCCGAGAAAGTAATGCTATAATATATCTTCGTTCACTTTGATACTGACCTGCACCTCCTGCTATCTCAGCGTTCAATGTAGTATAGAAGTCAGTTTCAGCTGTATAAGCTTTGATTATCCATCGTGGATCTTGTTCTTTTGTAGCTTTTTGAAAAAAACGTTTTATAGTTTGAAATCCATTAATATTAGCTAGACCATTGTCAATATAATACTTTTCGATTCTTTCAAACATTTTATAAACAGAATCACTTCCAATAAAGCTATTATATAGAGTCTCGATTATGTTTTTCTCTTCAGCCGCTTTCTCTAGTACATCGTCATCGATTAATTCCCATTCAATCGCACCAGTGTTTCCTACCAATCGATTACTATTTGGTACACGAAAGAATAATTCTTTGACATTATCATTCAATGCTTCATCGAATGGTAAACATCCGAATTTATTTTGTATTGCTCTATCAGCTCCAGCTTCCAGTAGCATTTGAACGATTCTTTTGTGACCATGATAACTTGCAGCATGTAATGCTGTACTATTATTCGGTTCTAGTCTATCTATTTCATCAAGTGTCATTGTTGAAAGTAATTTTTCAACCTTATCAATTTGGTTATTTCGACATGCTAAATAAAATTCACTGCATGTGCTAGATATTGCTACTGCTTTTGTTGTTGTTGCTTTTGCCTCGAATGTTGTTGTTGGACTTAGTGTCAATTTGATATGATTATCTGGAGAAACACGCTCTGGATGATCCAATTTCGAAAGAAATTCATCATAATCTTGTGCACGACGATTCAGTACATGCTTTTTTAACGATTCTACTATATTTCCCATACGTTAGTAGCCAATTGTTTATTTTTGGTATCAACAATCAATAAAATAACGCTAATTAAAATTGAATATTGATCTTAAATGATAAAAAAGAAAAAAATTCATATTTAAAATGAAAGTAAGGAGATGACCGATATAATTTAGACCCCTCCATTCGATATCTGAATTAACTTTTGGCAAAAAAACATAGAACATTCAGCTGGATGAATTGATAAAACAAGAAGTCCTACACGAAATCTTTCGATACAGACACTATAAAATCTCACATCTTGTTCTTTACGTATTCAGTCATTCATGTGACTATAGATTTTATGGCCCACCTTTTATGGATGGAAATATCACACTGAATAAATAAGATTGATTCCCTATACACAACAATTTCTTATCATTATCATTAGTGATATAAATAGGCATCTAATCAGTATTGAATATGTACTTGTTCATCTTTCAAATGCTTGTAAATAATTTGCATGAGTTAATGCAGAGTCTATAAGTGAATCTATTATAAACAATAACTCAATCAGTATAAGTCCTAGACAAATATTGACATAATAAGATCCGTTAAAAATGATAAAAATTAACTTAAGGTCAACTTGATGAGCTCCATAAAGTATTTCGATAGACACGATGAACCATGTTAGATTCTCTGTGGCTTATCACTCATCCAAATGAATTTACTTCAATATTAAATAAACGCTTTAGAGTGAAGAATATCATGAAGATATTTAATAGACAATATGATTACTCTCGTACAGTGACTGATAAGACAACATTATTTATGAAGCATGTCTCATTCGTTTTCATCGATTTTTTACTCATATAAAAATATCCTAATTTTATATACTACTCAAAGAAAAAGAATCACCAAGAATAGCCGTTTCTTACTTGTGTATGTTGTGTGAAGATTGCAAAATCAAACTGAATTTGTTTCACAAACATTGTGCCACGTGTACTAGCGGCAGTAACTGAAAAGGAAAGAATGTGGAAGAGAATGAGTGAACGACGTTGCACAAATAAACAGCAGTTGGGAACTATGCAATTTTATGATGTTAATAGTAGTGCAAAGAGCTTGCATTTCTCAGAAGCAGAACGATAATCGTCAATCATTTACATCGTTCAAAAGATGTCAGGACAGTGCCGAAATTGCATCGATTTCTTATATGTATATTAATAACACAAAAATGAGGCAGATGTTGTTATAGTGTTGACATCTGCGTTGTCACTAGTCATTCTACAAGATATTAAAATAGATAATGAGCTTCAAGTGTATCCATGAAAAACACATTTGTTGAAAACCATGTTTCAATGCCAACTTTTAGACAAAGAAAAAAGCTATTTTTGCGTTTAAAACACATCGTCTTTTGTTTGCAACGTACTTTTCAATTTGAAATGCTACGTCGAAAAACCGTTTGAATGTGTTTGTTTTTATTCGTTTGTACCATTGTTTTCGAAACGAGTTTCAGCACATTATTGATAATGTGTTTGTCTAGGAAAAATGAGTTGTTTCACAAACTAGTGAAATGAATTTTTATATTTGTATTTTGAGTAAAAATACCTTTATATGAAATAAAAATATTCTAGCATATAGTCAAACATTTCGTGATATCATATTCAGACATGTATATTGCTTTATTAGGGTTGTTCGCGAGGTAAGCATATCAATATAGGACAGTAGAATGTATTTGAATATTAAGAAAGAAAAAAAAACGTAGTTTTATAACGAACACGACAAGCTCATATGAATAAAACCAGTTAATCTTGTTTAATAAAATCTCTTGATCAAGTTGAAAAAGTTATAAATTGTTTTCATGCAACAATTAGTTATACACCGTCTTTTCTTCTATTTTCAGTTACTCATTTCTTGCACATGCTGCCGAGGAATGTAAAGTGCTCTGTTCTTAACAGAAGCGCAAAACATCTTTATAATCTAGTCATTCGAGAAATAACGCACTTTAAAGTGCACAAGTTTTCATTCTCTTCAAGCATAATTTACGAGTGATATCGATAAAAACTATCTTGAATTTTTATTGTCCTCTTTTTTTTCTTTACATCTCTTATTATGTTCTATTGTTCTTCAACAATCAAATTTCATGCACGATGAAAATATTCACTTACTGTCTCTTTTGTTTTTGTCGACTACCTCTAATTGAGAAACTTATAGTTCTATAATGAATATGAGTTTAAACAACAAACAAACATTTTGTAGTATTATCAATGGATAAATATTCCTACAGAAATTATAGCCTTTTCTACTTGTAAATTAAAAAGTTCTTTTGAATGAATATCATTTCTTCTTTTTCAATCTTCCAAAAGTATCTATCTCATGTATGGTATTCATAGAGGTAAATGATGCATATAGGTATATATATCTCAGAAAAATTCAAATACGTTAATAGAAAATTTATTTAATGGAAATATATTGAATGTTAATGTGCATTGTTAGTTAGAAATATCATACCGTATATTCCTATGTGAAAACCTGACAAATTGAAGCAAATTAAAAAGAATATATACCTCAGTTGTTGTTCCAGAAAAATATTTGCATCATCTGATTGCATTAGTGTCTCTACTCTGATTGCAATGATGATTTAGAAGATAATTAAAAGTCATTTTTTCCTTGCGAAAGCCTTTTCTCATTCACTTATCCATCGTAACTATTTTATCATCTTGACACTATTCTATCGCACACTTTTTAGTAACTTCTTTCCCGAAAACTTCAAAGATTTTGAGAAAGATATATCATAGCCAATAATGGACAACATCGAAGTATACTTGACAAACTCAAGCGATCCATTATGCTTTAACAAAAGATTATGTATAAATCAGTAGGAGGCATTTTTGCAATACTGAATATCATATATCTTTCTCGAAATCTTTAGAATTTTCAGCAATGAAGTTACTAAGAAATGTGCAATAGAATGGTATAAATATGATCAAATAATACATACAAATAAAGATAAATTAAAAAAACGAAATTTTATAGGGAAAAATGCATCTCTATACCAATGAAACATGTAATATGAACCATGTTCTTGAATTATTTCTTTGCGTTTTTAATTAACAAAAAAAGACACACTCCAACGCTTTAAAATGCAGAGTTTTGCAAAATTTTTTGTCACAGATACATATTTGTAGTTGCAAGTAAATAGAAAACTTATATCCATACCCTCACACTGAACCAACAAGTTCGGCGTTACCTTAGAACTAAATGAATAAACGAGTGATAGTCAGTCAAATGATCTGCTTCTTTATCAAGTCATTTCAAGTAATAAGAACTTTTTGTCAACAGCAAACTTTTGAATGTATAAACTACCTTCCAATTTTCGTGCCGGTCGATTGTCGAATCCTACGATGAAGATATATTGATCTACTGTAATAGCTACGCCACGTCCATCGATAGTGAAACTGCTTGATTCGGTAATTAGAAATGTCTGCAACATGAACGATGTTCATTCGATGAACATTTATCTTCTGTCTATTATACGAGTACATGTATCTTAAAAATATCATCTTCGAAAACTGGTGACACATCAGCATCTATTGAATATTATATATGATTGGTATATTGTGTTGGCAAATAGATGATGTTGAAATGCAATAAGCAATACTATCAATATAACGGAAACAAAATAAAATAAAATTCGAGTCAAGATATCATGTAAGTGCAAAGTACATTCTTTTTCTGATTATTTAAATCAATAGAAATTTGATAAATATAAAGCTATTTTTATTTATAAATTCTTAATGGCAAATCTAACAGAAAATTCTTCAAAAAAAACTATCGACGGTTTTATTCATCATTCAGATGGTTTAATTGAAGATGGTTTACCAACATCAGCTGTTGTAAAATCACAGAAATTAATAAATAATGAAGAATTTGATGTAATTATAATTGGCGCAGGATTCTCAGGTCTTATTGCTGCACGTGAACTTAGTCTTCGTGGACGAAAAGTATTAATTATTGAAGCAAAAGATAGAATTGGTGGTCGAACATTTACAACTCAATTTGAAAATCAAAATTTTGAAATTGGTGGTACATGGATTCATTGGAGTCAACCACATATATGGACAGAAATTACACGTTATGGACTTTCATTAACTGAATCAAAAGGTGCAACAGCTACTCGTATGAGTCTATTACTTGATAATGGTACTAAATTAAAAGAAGCATCAATGACAGAAGATTGGTTAGCAATGGCTAAAGTAATGGAAAAATATAGTGATGTTGATGGAGTTCAAGGACGTAAAATTATGCCTTTACCACATACACCTTTTACTTCTAATGAACTTGTACAAATGTATGATCAATTGTCTATGCAAGATCGACTTAATCAAGTCCTTAATTCACTTGATAATAATGAAGAAATAATTCAAATGTTACTATCATTACTTTCAATGAATATGCAAGGTGATATTGCACAAGGAGGATTTATTGATCATCTACGTTGGTGGGCACTTGGAGATTATGATATGAATCGAATGTTTGAAAAACTTGGTCGATATAAAATAAAAGAAGGAACAAGTGCATTAGCACAAGCTATATTAAATGATTGTCAAAACATAACTTTAGTATTATCAACAATTGTTGAGTCTATTGATCGTACTAATGAAAATAGTGTTATTATTCGTATACACTCAGCTGAATTAATAATTGGTCGAACAGCAATTGTAACTGTTCCTTTAAATGCATTACATAAAATAGAATTTTTTCCATCTCTTGAATTACAAAAACAACAAGCTGTAAACATTGGTCAATGTCGAGGTGGAGTTAAATTTTGGGTTAAGCTAGAAAAACCAGTTGGTAATTGGTTTGGTTTTGCACCATATCCAAATCCAATTACTATGGCTTATACGGATGATCAAGATGGATCTATTATTGTAGGATTCGGACCTGATGAATTATTAGATATTCAAAATATTAATGTCGTAGAAAAAGAATTAAATAAATTACTTCCCAATGTAAAAGTTAAATATGTTCTAGGACATAATTGGCGAAATGATCCATTTGTATTGAGTACATGGTCTTGGTATAAACCAGGTCAAATGTCTTCAAGTCTTAGAGTACTTCAAAAGTCAGAACCACCTGTATTCTTTGCCAGTGGTGATATATCTGATGGTTGGAGAGGATTTATTGACGGTGCACTAGAAAGTGGTCTTACAAGTGTTAGACATGTTCAACAATATCTTACCACACGGTTCACTTAATTTTAGTTCGTACTTAAAATTCTTTTATTAAGAAGTATAGATTTTCTTTAATTACTCAAATTAATTTGATTTTAATAACTTATTTAAATTTTTATTTATTTATTTATTATTATCATAGTTCAGTCATGTTGTTGTAGATGTAAATATGAAATATTCATAAATATTCATAAATGTGTTGTCTTACGAATGTGATATACAGAATTATAGATGGTGATTATTATAATGTATTGTTTCATCATAGTTAGGATCCAATAACAGAATCATGAATATAGGCTATAAGTCTGCAATTCTCATTTTTTTTAAGGAAAATTATTTCTTAAATAATTGAAATCTTCTGTATACTGAATTAATGATCACTTGAATACAGATTCAGACTATTGAAATTCAATTTCGTTCGAAATTAAAACCGTCTTGTTTAATAAATTATACATGTAACACCTACACATAAAAGTGCGACACAATCTGAAAATGTGATTCGAAAAGAATTTTTAGCGCATTTGTCATTTTCTCTGAAGAAGAAAATAATTAATATTTTCCAGTTTCATTCAAAGTAGTGGTACCTATACTCAAAACTCAAGATGTTCCAATCTTTAGATCTAGTCTTTTCGATCTTTCAGCATGTTCTCGATCAATAGATAATTCAGAAGAAAAACGACATACGAAAATCTGAAAGCTTATTGTTCTCAATTGAGTTGGTTATATTTAGCTGAATGCGAAAAACAAAACGGTGAATGAATAGTTAGCAGACAGACCACAACACTAATCCTTGATCTTTTCTTAAACCCTTTATTCTACGTTAGTCACTGAAGTGGCCATTTTGTAGAGTGATTGCAAAAAATAAAGAAACCATTGAATTTGAAAACGATAAGAACATTTTTTTTGTAGTCGACTTTAAGAACTATTAAATGGTAAAAATTCTTTTTTTTTCATTGCATTGTCATTGAAATACCGAGTCTACAGAATAGTGGTGGAGCCAAGATTTTGAGCTGGGAGGGGCTGAGGGGGCTCAGCGTCTTCTAAGGCACCTCTGAGCCCCGGTTTTCGAATAAAATACATGGTTTTACAATTTTTCTGGGGGGGGGGGGGCTGAGCCCACCCCGGGCTCCGCCACTACTACAGAATCGAATTTTTCGAAACGAAATGTTCTCTACCTACAGTCAATCGAGATCATTCGGGATATCTGTATGATATAAATCAATGAAGAAATTCACTAATGAGTTAGATGTATTTCGAAAGCTTCACAATATCAGAGGTTATAAAACGACTTAAAGCAAAGCAGATGTTTATTTAACAAGGTATGTTAAGAGCACATGTACTTTTTTTAAATTAATTTTTATTGGTTCACTCCGTTTTTCTATTATTACAATGATATTGAATTGATGTTGCTTTTGTCCATTCAACAATGGTGATCAAAGAAAAAAAAGTCAAGGCTTAACATGTTGTTAAACCCCAGAGATTTAAATAGTCGATTTAGTATATTTCCATAGAATTAATTAAATAAAAAAGAATATTTATTACATAGTTCTTCGATAATACTTTTATACATTTAAATAATATAAACTGTATTATCAAATTTATTTCATGATTTTTCAATATAAAATTGTTAGATAGAAAAGACAATTAATTTCAAACCTCAATTTCGAATATTTTCTTTCCATTAGCTTTTTCTTGAAGTTTCATTTTACTCGTTTCAGATAAATTACAATTGTTTATCGAAAATTTTTCTAATATTTGATTATGTTCCAACATTTTAAGAAGATAATTAATACTTCTATCAGTTATAAATATATTAAATGAAAGTACTAATACTTTTAATTTTCTATTATAATTAATTAATATATTTGCTAATTGTTTTATTCCTTGATCTCCAATTTCATTATCTGATAACCATAATTCAGTTAATGTTTGATTTATTTGAAGCATTTCAGATAAATAATGTATACCATCATTTGAAATACCATTTTTATTGAGAAAAAGTATTTCAAGAGATGAATAATGAATTGGTAAAAGAACTTGACTTAAGAAATAAATACCTCTATCTGATATATGATTATAGGAAAGATCAAGACATTTTAATGTTGAATTATTTATTAAATTTGAAGCTAAAATTGATGCACCTTGTGATGTTATTTTATTTCCACATAATCGAAGTTCTATACATTGTTTATATGTAATAATTTGTTTAATAATCATAAATATATCATGATCAATTAAATTCCAATAGGATAAATCTATACATGTTTGTGATTTGATTAATGCAAGTTCTTCTTCTAATTTTTTATTATTGTAAATTTCTGAAATAAATTTTTTGTTTATTGATGTTGGAGTAATAAAATTGAATTCCGATGAAACTGATTGTGAACGTGAAGATAATGAATCGATCCTTTTTAACATAATCGATGTATGAATTTTAACTTGATGTTAATCCTAGAAAAGTTATTTTTTTTAAAAAGTACTTTATTTATTCATTATAAGATTTGATGTAGCAAAAGATTTTTATTTATGATTTTAGTTTCTGCTTTAGAAAATAATGATTTTCATAATGATATTTTAGAGAAATTTATATCGAAAATGAGACGTATGTAATTGGATTGTGTTTAATTAAAGTTTAGTTATAAATTAAGATTTATTCATCTAATCTTTAAATATTATTAAGACTTGTCTATTTACCTGTATTTCACGTGTTTGAATGAAAAATCTTATACATAATTAATTAGTAATAATAGTCATCATGTTTCTGTCTGTCGTTTTTCTCTTATAGAATATAACTGAAATGAGGAAAACTGAACGAACGAGTCGTTTTTATCATAATTGACATCTTTTTTTTTTTATATATATTTGGACAAAATAAATCAAGGATACGTTTATTTTTGTTATAAATAAAAATATAAAAATACAATATTAACCTTGATCATTACAAAGTTTTTTTGATTTTCGGACAAAAAAAAATATTTATAATATTTTAATATTTTCTTTTACATACTGAATCATAAAAAAAAATATTCGTCACTTATAAATCTTCTTTTTCTTTTTTATTACGTAATAATCGAAATAAATAAAAAGAGAAAAAAAAAGAAGTAGCAGCGAGTAGTTTCGATCTACCGACCTCTGAGTTATGAGCCCAGCACGCTTCCACTGCGCCACGCTGCTTACATTTTTCTTGTACATAAACATCACAAACATTCGTTAGTTATATTGTTGATGACTCAAGGTCATGACATCGATCATTTTCAAAATGAATAATTCAGAATAGGATCACACTGTATGTCATTAAGTGTATTTTTTATTTTATTTTAAAGTAATTGCATTCAATTAAAAATGATTATTTGTTCTATCATATAGACGTAGACTATAACAAAATATATAATCATTTAGATAATACGTTGACATTCGTTTCTTTTTTAATTTTATAGTAAAAATTAAATTAAATTTTATTGAATATAAAAAATATAAAAATATGATATTCTTGTGTAGTGATTATGAAAATCGTTATAAATCTTTTTATCATTTGTAACAACAAATAGATAACTATATACTTAGGGCGTACCAAAAGTTCGTGTCCCGTCATTTAGAGGACCTTGTCGGATGGGGTGAACTAGTTTAAAAATAAGAAACAAATATATCATGTTGTAGAGCTTTTCGAGCCGCATCGAATGGTATATAGTAAATTCTGTTTTCTTAGAACTTTGAACGACCTAGAGTCAATTTATTGATGGACGACTACACATTCACACCCATTCATACTCACGTCCGCATTCACAAGATGATCGGAGATAGTGCGTATATGAAGTTGTAGCCCATCAAAAACTCTACAAAGTAGCATGCGAGAAACAATATTTTACATATGCTTTCAATTAATATCAAGAACCATAATAAACATTAACTTATGGTCCTCAGGTATGGGTGTAAATAATGATGGGTGTGAATGTGTAGTCATCTATCAGTAAATTGACTCTAGGTCCTTCAAAGTTCTATGAAAACAGGATTTACTATATACCATTCGATGCGGCTCGAAAAAGTCTACAATATGATATATTTGTTTCTTATTTCTGAACCGATGTACCCCATCCGACAAGGCCCTTTAAATGACGGGACACGAACTTTTGGTACGCCCTAAGTATATATCTGTTGGATGTTGTAATTTCGAAAGAGTAGTCATAGATCATTTACAATTTTGAACATCTGAAGTCAACTATGATAAAATACAGTAATCCAAAAAATAAAACATTTCATGTTGTAAGCAGTAAATTATTTGAAATTCTTTGTTGTATCGTATCATACAAATATTGATATATTCGAAATATTCGTAGACTTTATTATGAAAATATTTAGAAGAATAGAAATGTACAAGATACGAAGAATATTTATAGTATTTCACATTAAGGTAAAATACAAATACAATCTCCGATCTCAAACATATAAAACTCGACTTGCCATGGAAATGGACATTTTTTAATATCGATATTTAACTCTCTTTGATTGTTTGTTCGTTGATTGATATAACTAATTTTTTGATTATCACAATCAAGTTGAAGTTCGATTTCAAATGAAGTTTGACCTTTCATATCTGTAAAGTTTCTATCCCCTGACATTTCATTAACAGGACAATAAATATGATCAATACTTGACCATCCATAAACTGCGTAAGGTACTTTAGATCTTTCACTGATTGGCATGAATGCTGAGACAACATTAAACGAGGTGATATATGTGAGACTATTCTTTTTAAACAGAAACCGAATTTTATGTGTACCTGACGAATATTTACCTATTCCTCGTACAAAAGCTGTATCATTCTTTAAACCATTATGTGTCGCCATAAAACCATTATCTTCAATACGAACTGATCCAAAGAATTCTCTAAACTTTTCCTGTTGTCTTAATTGTTGTAGTGTTGTAGAAACATATATTTTAGCAACAAGTATTTCTTCTGAATTTTCTTGAACAGAAATCGATGGAGAAAATGTATTAATATCATCTTTCAATTTTTGTAACATATTTGTCCATGTTCGAAGATCTGTTTCAACATAATCATCATCTATACGAGCTTTTTCTAATTGTTCAGCAAGATCATGTAATTCTTTTGATACTATTGAGTAATAAATAACTCAATAATAACAAAAACTAATTAATTTTCTAACTAACCTGTTTGTAAATTAGTCAACTTTCTCACTTGTACTCTGGCTTCTTCTGCCATTTGTCGAATTTTTCTAATAGAAACTTTTTCCCATTGATCAATTTGTTTAAGAATAGGAAGATGATTTGTTTGTTTATCTTCATTTTCAACAATAGTTTGTTGTAAAATATCATGTTCCTGAGCAATTTCATCCAATTGATAATTAAGAAAATCTCGATGTTCATTAAGATGTTTTCGACAAAATACTTGTAAACATCCTTCACATCGAAATATACCTGCACTTTTATTACCACATGCGGTACAAGGTGTTTTTAATGATGCTGACGAAGACGCCATAAAAATTTTTTACTTTTCTGTAAATATAAAGAAGTAAAGTAACGAATTACTTTTCTCTTTAGTATGTTGATTAAAACAAAAAGAAAATAGAAGAATGAAAAAAACAAAACAAGTTTTGTGATATTATTTTATTAATTAAATACTGATTTTAAAAAGTAATGATAATTAACTAAAATTATGATATTTGAGATGATGAAAGGAGTCGAACAGAATCTCCAACATCATATAAATAAAAATAAAGTTTCCATGGTAAAGGACATGTTTCTATATCAACATTAATTTCTCTTCTTTGTTTTGTTTTTTCATTAAAATAATTAATTTTTTGTTTATCACAATCAATAAAAAGTGTAATATAAAATTTTGTTTTTCCTTTTAAATCTCGACAATTTTTAGTACCTGATAAAATACATTGAGAAGGATTAACACAATCATCACTTTGCCAACCGTATGTTAAATATTTTGAATCTGAATCAGATAAATTTGATGATAATGACATTAATTTGGACATAATATTAAATGAAAGAATAAATTCATGTGTCATTTTACTAATAAATAAACGTATTTGATGTTGACCTAATGAATATTCTTGTGTACCACTGATATAAGCTGGTGTTCGATAAGGACCACAATGCATAGCAATATGATGATTATTATCAAATTGAATTTCATTAGAAAAACTAATAAGTGTTTCATTTAATATTGATTGTTGATCCATTTTTAAAATAGATATATTATTAATTAATGTTTGATTATGATCTTGATGAAGAATAATCGATGGTGAAAGAATAGTTAAATCATATTTAAATTGTTCTAAAAGAATTTTCCATCGATAGAGATCTTTTTCAAGATATTCATGTTTTTGACGAGCATTTTCCAATTGTTGACTTATTTGATTATATTTTTCTTTTGAATGTTCTAAATTATAGCAAAAAAAAAAAACCTGTTTCTATCATAAAATTATTTATCGAAACCTTTTTGTAATTTAGCAAATTGTTCAATTTGTATTCGTGCATTTTGTGCTGTTTTTTGTATTTTTATAATTGAATCTTTTTCCCATTGATTAATTTGATCAAATAATAATGATGATTGTTTATTTTCACTGAATATATGATAAATATTTTCATGTTCATGAATTATTTCATTTAACTTATGACTAAGATATTGCCGATGTTCATTGGTATGTTTTAAACAAAATGTTAGTGAACATCCTTCACATTTAAATACACCATTAATACTTTTATTTTCGCATACAACACAAGACATTGTTGAAGGCATGTTTTCGATTTATGAATAATAAATGGACGCAATCAATATGCATATTTGATTTTTAAAAACACTTCTTAATGGTGATACAAATGAAGAATGGCGAAAAAATGACTAATATTTACGATTCGTATTTAATAACGTTGGTTGTTATATCGTCATGAAAAGAAAAACGTGGGGGCACTTCTATATTTGATTCATACTTTTTACTAAGATAAATATCTATACAGTGTTAATTATATTGCGTATGAAGAGATTTGATGAAAATACGAACGAATCGAAGTTTTACTGGATTTTCGTTGGTTACTCTTGATCGAAGAAAGAACACCAATAACAAATAGTTATGCACTAATGAAAAACATCTAACTAAATTATTATATAAATATGTATTGTGGTCAAAAAACTGAATTTTTATTTATTCTGTCTTGTACAAAAAGCAATTTGATCGAACGAAAAAATTACAATGATTTATTTTCTTTTAATGCATATATAGGATGAAAAGAACATGAAAACTAAATGAAATAAACAGCGATCATATTTCATCCATAGACATTTTGAATATAAATGGATCGAACGTGTGATCTGATTCCTATGAGTCAAAGTAATACTCATTTCAAAAATATATTGTTTTTGTCATAGTAATATTATTTTACTATCTTAATTAAAGTAAAACATGACAAATATAAAATATACCATAAGCAAACATGAATGATAGAAATGTATTGCGGCATTCTTTTTGTACGTTATTTTACCGTCATGTTGTTATATTTGTCAATTTATTTTTTATTCTGTCTTTGATTATTATTATTAAAATAGTTATTGGTTTTCGTCGTTCAAATAATTGATCAATACTTGGTGTATAGTAATTATTTTATTTAAAAATTGATTTGCTATTTGATAGAATCTTCAAACAATAGTGTCAAATTTGTTATTGATGATGCTATTTTCATTTTGCTTTAAATAGATTAATAGTGTATAATCAACTGAAATTAATTATCGAGAAATATATGTAAAAGAAAATTTTATTCTCATACATTCAACAAATATTTATAGTTAAAAGAAATTATTCATTGCTGATAAAAAAAACAAAAACATTCAAAGGTACAATTGTTTAAAAATTCCTATCCACTGAAATCTATCAACAATTTCGAAATTTTTCTATATTCAAATATGTATTTTAAAAGTCTTCTATCTCTTATTTGATTGAATAATATAAGTGATTATTTTGAATGATTTATTAATGGTATTTATCTCCGAAATTAAATCTAACTGTACCTTCATGTTGAATATTGTTTGTGAATAAGGGATATAGAATAGATTTATATCATAGGTGGATACGTGTTGGCAACATGTTTCTTTCACTTGTATGTCATCAAAGTACATCAGATCTACAAGATAATTCTGTCCTTATCGCTGGTAGAGCAGTAAATGGGGTGACCGGACAATTCGTTACAATGACATAATCCAATCATAATTTATATCTGTTTTTCAAAAATGAAGCAACTTTTTCAATTAAGTTTGAAGCATGCAACCCAATGACTTTAAAAAGTACTGAAAATATTAATAATGATTAAATTTTTGTTTTTTGATCACGGGGTGTGCCACTAGAGCCCTTCAGCGGGTCCAAACAATGTTTTTGGACCTGGTCAAAGAAATATAAGTTGCTCTATCAATTTTTGTGTTAATAGATCTCTCAAACGTGTATTTTATAGAGAAATGTTTTCTCTTTTATCTCATGTATTTAGAGAAGCAATAGAATGCATTATTCCGAAAATATTTTAATAAGAAAAGTCCGGGTTCACACTTGAGCCCGGAAAATCTGGACCCGAACTTTTTTTTATTAAAATATTTTGACTATTAAATATTGTAATGCTTCTCTAAACATATGAGGTGCAAGAGAAAACATTTTCCTACAAGATGCACGTTTGAGTAATACATTAAAATGAAAAATGATAGAATGGCTCAGATTTCTTTGACCAGGTCCGGAAATTTCTTTTGGACTCGATGAAGGACTCTATGTGCCACTATAAAGAATCCGAGGAAGACAGAAAATCGGATTCATTTCCTACCCCATGATTAATGTCAATAGGACGTAAAAATCCTTCGATTATATGGTATAATCAAAACTATTTACGGCATTGTATAAATCATCGATTGAATCTGAGTAGCTTACTTTTAAATATATAAATAGCAAGGGATGTTCCTTAAACAAACCGAATATGTACGTCGAATTAGACGATTTAAAAATAGAAATTCCTTAAAAGTTGTTTTTTTTTCTGATTATGTCATTGCAACGAATTGTTCATGCGACGAATTGTCCTAGCACCGTAAATGGTAGATATTATATGTCAGTAATTTAAGAGTATATTATAACTAATCGTTTATTAAGAATGAACTGAAATATTTTCGTCATATTATAATATGTTCGTCATACTGTTATTATGTCATGATTAACATACTAAGTTCCATGTGTTGATGATATAACTATTTTAACAGAAAATAAATACAAAAAAAGTAAAATTCTGGAATGGGATGTGGATGGTAAAGCTCATCGAATTGATTATGAACCTGATCATGTCGAGGTCTGAAAATTTTCTATTAACTGGATTCGAGTTTGAAAATTTTGTACTCAATGGACTCTAACCTACATGTTTCTGAGATGATTCGTCTAAAAAATATGTAGGGTACAATAGTCCCCGAAAGCAAAACACCGAAGAAAGTATCTCTTGTCTTCGGAACGGCTATCCTATTCCGATTGGAAAATTTCATTGGCGGTATCAAAGTAGAATCTGACCGAGTTCGGGTTCGAAAATTTTGAATTTGACGAGCGCTAATGAATAGACAGAAGATGCGCACTCATACGAATTCCCGAACTTCTATACTTTGTCCGTTTAATAAAACATATTAGATAATGAAAAAATAAAATACAAAGCGCGACTATTTATTATGGACCACCCGCTAGCATCGAAAAAGTTTGACATATTATCAAAAGTAACGATGTTAGCAATACTACTTACGTATATGGTACCTTATACTTTATCACAAATAAATAAAATTATTTTAACTTGTAGAACAGATTGAGAAACATTTTCATTTAGTACTGATGTAGTATTTGATATTGAAGCTCTTTCATTCATTTAACAAAGTAAAATATTAATTGAACATTTCGCTTATTTTTCAAATTTCTGGTAGCAGTTTAAGTCAGAATTTAACTATGTAATCTGAACTTTTCAATATAAGAACAATATCATCTTGTGAAGTAGCATTTGTGAATCAACCAGACTTAAAATATACAGCTACATTAATTTCATTGATTGATGAAATATTTTATGTCGTCTTGATACAACATTAGTATTGTTTAAATTGTTACAAGTTGTGAGCTGTATATTCCGTAAAAATAATAAATGTAATTTTTTTCTTCGTTTTATTTTGCAAAATGTTCAATAGTAATGATTCAGTTCACCTTATAAGTCTGTCTTTCATAAAAATTGAGAAAAACTTCCTGAACTAATCGGTATATAGCTTGAGAGACTACTGGACTTATTTTTTTAGAATTTGTTTTTTTTTTACAGAATTTATTTATTGATGATTTATTAAATATGCTAATATTTCAGCGAGACACATTGTAAATATGCATCTATGCGCTGACTTGAATCAACATATTGACGCACTCACACTGCGAGTATGCAGGTATATACTTAAAAAATTGTACAGAATTCATGTCAAAATGCATGAGTATATAGTGAAAAATCTAAAAAAAAAAGTCATAGTAATTGCTGGGTGTATATTACCCAAATACTCCCTGCTGACTAATTACCTGCAGCAAACTAACCAATATTATACCATTTTATGGGAAAATGCTTGTTCTTTCATTCACTGTATTTGTAATGATTTTTGCTATGGGGAAATTCGTCCGAACTTAATTTATGGACCTATCAAAGGTCGTCTTATGACTACTAAATCACAAGTCTTACAAAAATGTTGAATTCATATTATGCAAGAGCACAAAATTCTGACTTCAATCGAATGTTATCGAATTTTTGCAGGTTTCTTTAAGAAATTGAAAAATGGCCGAACAATTTGTCGAACAACTTTTTCATCAACTGTTAGTTCTCAAATTTTCATCAAATGAAGAATAATTACATTGATGTATTATCCGAACATTTATTACAGATTTTTATAATTTTCAATTTGATTTTAAATATGTTTCTGTAATTATTGAATAAAGAACAGTTCATCAATTTTTTTAGATCATAGATTTACATAATTTTATTCAATAGGAAATTTTTATATTACACATGTAGAAAGAAACAGAAAAACAATATTTTATACATTAGTTTATAAATAATTTGAAATTTTTCTTTGCTTTTGTTACAAGTTTTAATTCTTCAACACCAGATTTAGGTAGTTTACAGTTTTCTAAATTCAATGTTGTTAATGATTTATTGTTTTTCAGCATATCAACAAGAATGGTAACACTTGTATCATTACGAAATTTATTCCATTCAAGTGAAAGTACTTGTAAAGTTTTGTTCTTTTGCATAAGCACTTGACATAATAGTTCTAAACCTTGATCAGTTATTTTATTTGATGCTAACCATAAATGAGTTAATGTTTCATTAGATTCCAACATTTTCGCTAAATATTGAATACCTTGATCTGTAATATCATTATGACAAAGAGAAAGTTTTTTAAGAGTTGAATTATTATCACCTGAAAGTGCTCGAGCAAGATATTTTGTTCCATCATCACCAATTTGATTTTGAGCTAGAAATAATCCTCCTAATGTATTATTATCACGTAGAGCTTCAGAAAGGATCAATGTTGCTTCAGCTGTTATAAGACTTTCCCTTAAAAATAAAGCTCGACATTGTTTGCCAATTATTAATTCTTGAACAACAGCTTGAACATCATATTTATTAAGACGTTTTCCATTTAAATAAGCTTCAGATTCAGGTTTGCACCGTTGAATACATTCTTTAAGTTTGCTATTACGATAACGTTCAAGTACTGTAGCAGACATCATTGATGCTCGTATGTTAGTTTTCGACATTGACATTGTTTTTAAATCTCGAATTTCTTGTTCTGAAGATACAGATTCCAATAGAGCATGTGGTGATTCGATTTCTTCAAGATGAATAACATGTAAGTTATTCTCTTGTTGTTCATAATTAATAACTTCAACATGAGTAGCAGGTAAAAGTAATACTTCGTGTTCTTTGCTATAATATGAATGATTTCGAATATCTTTTCCTTTCATACAATCAATAATAAATAATGTTCTTCTACCACTTTGTCCAAGAAAATGATCTCTTTCGGAAACAACCCGAATTGCTGAACATGATGAAAAACCCCACCAAACAAGTCTTTTTCCTACTTTATATTTTTCATGTTCACTTTCAATTACATCTTTAACTCCACGATAAACAGTTACATTTACTGATGGAAGACGAGATAAAGCAGTAAAGATAAGCTTAAGATAGAGAAACCATGGTTTCAAACTTTTTCGATCTTCATTACGTAATGTAGTATTAAGAATATAATAGAGTGAATCTGTATATGGTTCCCATTCCATTGTATATAATGCAATTGAAGCTGATTCATCAACTGAAAGATCTTCTGCTGGATTTTTAGCACGTTCTTTGACTATATATACGTAGGTACCAACACGAGGAACAATGTTATATAATGGTTCAGTAGCTTCTTCAAGTGTTACTAATGGTTTTTTGTTAAAACCTTCAATTGGTGCTAACATAATACATGGTTCTCCAGCTACATCAGCAAATCTGTAAGTAGTATTTTGGATGTTAGCTACAGACATTGTCGAATAATAAACTGTCATTTAATGCATTACACTAGAAAAAAACATTTGATCAAATGACGACATTATTTCGATGAAGGGTAATCGGTATGGAACAAATTATATGCAGAAATAAAATAAATTGCGACGTATGTGCAATTTGTTCTCATTCTTTTGCTTGAATAAATGTCATTTTTATTATTGTTTTTACATAGTACGGAAGTAATATTTATTCGTATTTTTTCTTTTCGAGTTTTTTACCTATTGGGCAACTTGGATGTTTTTTTTCCATTACGTGTCTACCGTGTCATAATCTCGTTCGAACGTCACTAATCGTTTTGTGCTACTTATGCAAATCAAAGAGGTAAACATGATGTTTTTTTGCTACGAAAATATTGATTTGTATCAGGGCTATCAGCTTCGTTTGTTGCCTGACAAACCAAAAGATTATCTGAGAGACTCGGCTGACTTTGAAAATTCTAGCCTGATCTGATCCATTCATATAATTTTGAACCAGGGAACAAGCCAGGTCAGACCAAAGTTGGTGACGTCTGTGTCTTGTAGTATTATTTTCTCTAGTATAAGTTGAAACGTAAGATGGCAGCAAAAGGTCATGTTTTTGTGAAGGTATGGGTGTGAATCATCTCTTCACACAGAATCGCTCGCACTATTTTACCTCTTCGTTGTACACCTGGTTGTGTTTTATTTTTCTATGCTAAATACACACACTTCAGAATAAGAAAAATTATGCCAATATAGCCAAAAAATATTCGATAAATCTAGTGTTTATTGAATAAGAAATATTTTTGATGATTCATCTGTTTGTTTCTGCCACAGAAAATACATAAGCTAGAAAGTTCTTAACTTATTTTTGGGTTGTGACATAACTCAAGAAAACTTTATAGCATAATATATTTACATTTTTCATATTATCTATGAGCCCCATTGTGTTCGAAGATAATAAAAAAAACATCAATAATAATTCTACTCAAAAAGAATAAACTTAAATACACTCTCTGTCTTTTTTTTGTTGTTTGCTGAAGCATGCTAAGACAAGCTAGGTTTCAGTCGATAATGTTCACGAACTCTAAAACTTTCTAGATTTAACTAGACTTCATTTAAGCTTGAGGGTGCGGGTGTTGGTGTAAATAAATATAATACTAACAACCACACTCAGAGCTACACACCCACACCCACCCGGTCAAACTGTGGCGCAGTTACAGCGTAACTACGATATAATAATTGGAGTTGCGCGTAACCGTGACTTAATGGCTAAAAAAGATGACATACATGATACTTTCATTCTATTAATATTTTTATTGTGAATTAAAGAATTTTTTTTAAACACAAAACGATAAAAACTTAGAAAAACAAAAAAATTAAAAATCTAAGGAAAATAAAAAATTTTTATAAAAGATTAAAAACAAGAATGCAAAAAATTAAAAAATTGAAGAAAATAGAAAAAAAATAAAATAAAATCTAAAAAAATGAGTAGAGCCTAATTCGGTTTCGAACATAAATGGAAAATGAAAAAAAAATCGCACCCCTGTTGGAATAGCAAAACAGCAGAAGATAAATTTTTATGTAATTTATAATTTATTATTCACAAACTCGAAGACATACCCCTGTTCAGGTACTAAAAAGCAAAAGGAAAATTTCATATAAATTATTACCCTCATTTTAGTTTTCCATTGGTTCATCACTGTGTACACAGAGACCAGCATGGGTCGGGGCTCTTCGGTGGCCGTTTCGCGTCCTCACATCGCGACGCTGAAATAAAAGGTCAGTTACGCGCGAAAAAGCCATTTTGGGCAGTTGCGCACTAAGTATGTAACGCTACAAACGCTACTAGCACGATTCAAATCAGAGCGAGTAAATGCCAAGCTATTCGTAGTAGATTAAGATTGTTTTTCATTGTCACACATTTAATAGCAGTATGCTCCCGTAAGCTATAGCAAAGCGCTACCTGAGATGTCCCAAAAGGTGACAATACCATTCAAGGTGACGCTCGCAGCGTCTCAGGTATTGTTGGTAGGATCTTTGACAACGATTGAAGCAGCACAGGTGACGCTTATGGCATTCAAGCTGGCACTTGCTCAAATCCATGTGATGGGAGCCGTACATTAGTTTACGCAAGTAGCATTTCAGGTGCTGCTAGTAGCGCTGCAAGATCACCCAGATAGCACCTCAGGTGAGGCGAGTATGTGACGATTTCTGATAATACATATTGTACAATAGTGTTTACAACTAGTGTTTAGTTTTTATATCAAAAATCATGCTGCTAATGTATTTTGTTACTACTTTTATATCCTTACCAAGAGAGAGAAAACACGTTAAGATACAGATAAGGACGAAAGGATAGTACGGTAGGTTTGAAGGACATAATAACAACATAAAAAGAGATATTTCCTTGAGTTGTTACAGAGTAGCTTCGCAAGTCATGTTCGTAGCAATTCAGTTCACGACGATAACATCTCAGGTGACGCTCGCACCGTTCTAACTGATGCCTGCCGAACCTCACGTAATGCTTGTATCATGTCAGTCTTCGACTTTAGAATCTCAGATTAGAATAGCTTTCTTGAGATCTATCATTATAATTGGGAATCATTTTTACAGTTTGCTTTTTTTCAGTTCAAGAAGAGTATGCCTTCGAATCTATAAATTAATGATTTCTATAAAATGTATCTTATGCTTTTTTTGCTATTTCAACATGGGAGCTGTTTTTTGCACTCATTTTCGATGTTATAATAAACACTTAGCTCTCCATTTATATTCAAACTCGAACAAACTAGTCAACTCATGCCTCTGTGTGGCTAAATTTTAGCACTACAGTGTGACAAATTACAAATAAGAAGGAACCACTTATAATTGGTCGTTGTGCTTTACAGCGGATCGTAGGATACTCTAACTGTAACGTACAATTGGCTCTGAGCGTAACTGCGACATAGTTGGCACAAAAAAAGGCGACATGGACCTATTCTTAAGCGAAAAGTTATATCAATTTTATTCTTTTCTTTTCACCTGCATAGTTGTGAGCTAACTAACGTTTTTTAAATACATCCTAGAATTCAAACAGAAATTAAAACAACTACCTTATAGCACCAACATCTGATGTTAATATTCAAGCTCCTTAGTGAAGCATTTGAAGATATTTTCCAGTAACACGATGAATTTCTTGACCCAACCACACCCAAAAAGATATAGATACCATTTCCATGTAAGTTAACATATGAAAGTCACTTTCCTGATCCAACCCAATCCAAGCCTAAAAGAGATAGATATCACTTGCATATATACCCAGGCCGAGCTTTACGACACAGACAACGCCATAAAATGACCCAACACTCGCCGTATATGCCACTGCACCTCAATATGTAGCCCACTCCCAGAGACCTATACGGTGATCAACGGCCGCCGGCAGAGGATAATAAACAAAAAAAATCCAAAAACCCTGCAAAAATCCTACAGAAATCCGGAAAAATCCAAAAAATACTAAAATATCCTAAAATCCTACAAAAATCCCAAAAGCCGTAAAATGATCCAAAAAATGCTAAAAATTCCAAAAAACCCTAAAATGATCCAAAAATCCTAAAAAACTCCAAAAAAACCTAAAATGATCCAAAAATCCCTAAAAAAATCCAAAAACCCTAAAAAAATCCAAAAAACCCTAAAAAAATCCAAAAAACCCTAAAAAATCCAAAAAAATCCAAAAAGCCTAAAAACTATCCCACCAAAAATTCTTGTAGAATTTAAAAAATGATCAAACACCCAAAAAAAATGATCCAAAGATCCAAAAAAATCCTAAAAAAATTCAAAACATCCTGAAAAATCCTCACAAGTATCCTACTAAAATCCTTGCAAAATTTTAAAAAAATGAAAAAATACCCGAAAAAAATGATAACAAAAATAAAAAAAAACCCGCTAAAATCCCAAAATGTCCTAAAGAAATTCCAAAACTCCTAAAAACTAACGTGGTATAATCCATGTATACGATGGCCCTATTGCTCTGTAAAGCACCGTTTACAATCGCTGTAAACGGCTAGTGGAACCAGTCGCCATTAACAGCCCTAATCGGCTGGTATACGGCCGACCGTGATTGACCTGGGTACTTTCATATAAAAATAAATTTCCTGTGCTTATTTCTCTCAACATAAATTCACATTTCCATGAAATTCTTCTGATAGTCATTTGATTTCAATTTCCTGAAAATACAAAACTTACAGTGACATGAGTAATTCGTAATTTTTCTTTGTCTTTGCTAAATATTTTAATTTTTTGATACCAGATTTAGGTAGTTTACAGTTTTCCAAATTCAATATTGTTAATGATTGATTTTTTTGAATCATATCAACAAGAATGGTAACACTTGTATCATTTCGAAATTTATTCCATTCAAGTGAAAGTACTTGTAAAGTTTTGTTCTTTTGCATAAGCACTTGACATAATAGTTCTAAACCTTGATCAGTTATTTTATTTGATTCTAACCATAAATGAGTTAATGTTTCATTAGATTCCAACATTCTTACTAAATGTTCAATACCTTGATCTGTGATACCATTATGAGAAAGAGAAAGTTCTTTAACCCTTTCAGTCCGGGTTTTATTTTTTTATAATTTTAAGATAAAAATAAGTTTTTTTTCTTAATTTTAATGGAAAAAAGTCAAAGAAATTTTATTTTTAATAGTTTTTCAAAGTATGAAAATTTTTGAAACATACATCGATACATAGGCCTACATTACATTCAGTACACTCATATCTTGTTTTTTTAACAATATTATGTGCTGAACAAACTACACAACGTCTTTGTTTGTTTTCTGGTATTGTACTTATAAAATGTCTTTCTATAAGACGACTTGGATTATCCAATGATGGGCGTCCTCGTTGAGTTTTTACTTGAAAACCATATTTTTCAATTATTTGACCAATGATTTGCATACTAAAATCAATAAATGAAATATTTTTCTTTGTAATTTCGTTATATAATATAAAACAATTTAATATTGTCATATCAATAATATGTATAAACAATTTTTTATACCATTTTATAGATTTTCGAATTGATTCTGATATATGCATCATCATGTCAGATTTATCAACCAAACCCATGTTTTTATTATAATCTAAAACGCAGTCAGGTTTCACAATATTCTCGTTTGTTTTTGGATTTATTTTTTCCAGAGTTGTCATGTTTGGCTGATGTATTGAAGACAACATGTGGACATCTCGTTTGTCTGTCCATTTCATACACAACAATTTATTAGTATTATAATAAGACATTTGGCCAGATTTTTGGTTATCAAATTTTGGAAGACCAATACGATTTGATTTTACTGTACCGCAAGCTCCAATTTTTTTTTTATAAAGATATTCAAATAAAATCGGACTTGTATAAAAATTGTCCATATAAATAACATGACCTTTACCATTATATTTTTCCATCATAGTTGTTACTAGTGAACCTGTGATACCTAATTGTTTATCGAAATTTATTTCTGTTGATTTTCCTGTATAAATTATAAACTGTAAAATATAACCTGTTTTACAATCACATAATACAAAAAATTTTATGCCAAATCTGCTTCGTTTTGATGGAATATATTGCTTGAAATATAACCTACCTTTATATAACATCAAAGATTCATCAATACATATGTTTTTGTAGGGATAGAATGCAGCTTGAAATTTATGTTTTATTATATTGTAGATTGTTCTAATTTTATTCAAAGGATCATTGACATTATTACCATTATTATTATCACAAAAGTGAAGACAAGATAATAAAGATCTAAACCGATCTCTTGTAAATAATTTTCCAAAAATACGTGTCTCCAATAAATAATTTGTTGACCAATAATCACGAATTTTATGCTTTGTAATATGTGACATCAATAAAATAGTTGCTATCATAACATAAAGTTCCGAAACTGTTGAGTCATACCATTCAGCCATATGACTGTTTTTGTAAGCACTTGAATTTTGGTCATGATATAAATTTGTTTGTTCCATTATAAAAGTCATAAGAGTTTTATCAAAAAAATTTTCAAAAAAATCAATTGGTTGACTGTTTTCTGTACATGGAAATTCACTACTAACACCAGGTTCACCAATAAATTTAAATAAGTTTGGCATAAAATTAGATCTTATCCATGAAAAATTTGGTGTGAAATCAGTATCCAAAGTTAACTCACTAATATCTTCACTAATTTCTTGAGCATAATCAACTGTATCCTCTTCACCTTCGGATTCTGAACCTTCAGATTGGTCATCCGCAAAACAAAATTCATATCCAATTTCAACACTTTTTTTACATTTCATACTCGAACTTCTTCTTGCAGTTGCCATTTTACAAGATAAAATGATTTCGAACAAATTTACAAAAATTTTATAAATATAATTCAATTGTATAATTATATGATATTTATAAATACAAAAATTTACAATAAAAAAATTTTTTTTTTAACACAAAATTAAAAAAAAAGACTAAAATAGATAAAATACGTTGTAATATAAATAAAAAAAAATTTATTGTATAATACCGCCCTCTATTTATAAATATTTAAACTGCGTCCTATATATAGGACACCCGGACTCAAAGGGTTAAGAGTTGAATTATTATCACCTGAAAGTGCTCGAGCAAGATATTTTGTACCATCATCACCAATTTTATTATGATTGAGAAACAATCTTTCTAATGAATAATTTTCACGTAGAGCTTCAGAAATGATATATGCTCCTTCAGCTGTTATTTTACTTTCCCTTAAAAATAAAGCTTGACATTGTTTGTCAATCATTACTTGCTGAACAACAGTTTCAAGATCAGATTTAGAAAGACGTCTTCCATTTAAATAAGCTGCAGCTTGAGGCTTGCACCGTTGAATGCATTCATTAAGCTGTGCCGTGCGGTAACGTGCAATTATCGTGGGAAATATTATTGCTGTTCGTACCTTACTTGTCCACGTTGATGGTTTTTTTACATCTGGAATTTCTTTTTCTGAAGATACAGGTTCCAATAGAACATATGGTGATTCGATTTCTTCAAGATGAATAACATGTAAATTATTTTCTTGTTGTTCATAACGAATAACTTCAACTTGAGTAGCAGGTAAAAGTATTATTTCATTTTCTTTTCTAAAATATGAATGGTTCCGAATATCTTTTCCTCTAATGGAATCAATAATAAATAATGTTCTTATACCACTTTGTTCAAGAAAATGATCTGTTTCGAAAACATCCCGAATTGCTGAACATGATGAAAACCCCCACCAAACAAGTCTTTTTCCTACTTTATATTTTTCATGTTCACTTTCAATTATATCTTTAACTCCACGATAAACAGTTACATTTACTGATGGAAGACGAGATAAAGCAGTAAAGATAAGCTTAAGATAAAGAAACCATTGTTTCAAACTTTTTCGATCTTCATTACGTAATGTTTGATTAAGAATATAATAAAGTGATTCTGTATATGGTTCCCATTCCATTGTATATAATGCAATTGAAGCTGATTCATCAACTGAAAGATCATCTACTGGATTTTTAGCACGTTCTTTGACTATATATACGTAGGTACCAACACGAGGAACAATGTTATATAATGGTTCAGTAGCTTCTTCAAGTGTCACTAATGGTTTTATGTTAAAACCTTCAATTGGTGCTAACATAATACATGGTTCTCCAGCTACATCAGAAAACCTGTGGGTAGTATTTTGTAGGGTATCTACAGACATTGTTGAAGGGTAAATTGTAGTTTAATATATCACACAATAAGATGAAATAGTGTACAAAGACAACATTATTTTTACGAAAGAATTGATGCATAACTAATTATATGTAAAAATGAAAAAAAATCGTCATTTTTTCCTATTAGTTGCTTTTTTCTGCTTCAATATAAACCTTTCGTCTCAGTATTTTCACGTGGTGGGGAAGTGTAATATATTTTTTTTTCTTTTCGTTTCATTTTATTTACCTGACAAACCAAGTTGATATCTTTTTTTGTACTAAATTTCATCTTGTCAGAGCTCCGTACCTGTGTTACCAACCGTGTCATTATATTAATTCAACTCGAAGTGTTTAATATAATGTTTTTTGCTTGAGGAAATTTTTAGTGTGAATACAATGAAACACGATTTGATTGAAAAAAGATATTTCTTTTTTATTTTCAAATATAGAAATGTATATCCGGTATCGGTTTTAATTTTTGACGAGCCAAACTATAGAACACGTGAATTGATCAAGTAATCGATGATTTATCCTGTGGTTACTAGTGTACTAGAGGAAAAATCTAATTTCATGATTAAATCGTATCTGAATATTAGAGGATGGTGATGTGTACGAAGATTTTCTATTACCTGTTTTTGACAGAGCGTATTTTCCTTTGTTTATTCGAATGAAATGTCGGAGTCTTTAAGTAGAAAACATTAACATTCATATGAGTCAGATATATTTTTAGATGTCTTTTAAGTGAATTTTCATTATTTTTCTGACTTTTGTTTGTCTCAAAATCTTTAGTATGAGTCACATTATGAAAAAGGGGGTTTTGTTTTATGATATGCTCGTGTTTGTTCACAATAAATATTCTTTTCTGAATGAGTCTTTTTGAAATTTGAAGCTTAGTAAATAATATGTAAAATAGAAGACAAAATAGTTTTATTGTACGAAAATCAATCAATATGAATAATCTTAGATGAAAAATGATAGAAAATTTGAAACCAAATATTAAGATTGATCAAAAGAACTAATTTTATTAAGAATACGGCCAAACATCTAACTGGATGATTATTGTTGGTCAGTTTTTGAGAACTTATGCAAATACTCGTGATCGTTATCCATCATTTTAATTGATACTAACGGTAAAAATGATGACGAACGACTCTTATATATATTGTAACTGATTCATAGTGTTTAGATCTTTAATTTGTTGACAGATAAATCTCATCTTATTGTTTCTTTTTAATTCATGGAATAGGTGTGGCTATGAGTATCGCACGTGAGAGTGGATGTCTACTCCTCATTTTCATCTACACTCATCCACACCTACACACTCCAACAAAGACTTTGTGGCCGTCAGTTCGGTATTTCTTTTTTTCATCCGATATTTTTAATTACTTTGATAGTTATGTAAAGCTTTACTAGTTGAATCCACTTTTTATGTAGAATACATTCGGAGACTTGTGTCCACGTTAATGTATTACTCATAAGACGTATGTTACTTTTTTGTCTGCCTTTACCGTGCCGGCAACGAAAGGTCTTTTTTGTATGACGATTCAATGTTGCTATTGTTTGGCGAATTCAACGACAAATGTAGGCATTACCAGACTTTTAATCAGGCTCTAAGCAGACCTCATAACCGTACTACTTTCCTGATCTTTTTCTTACTTTTTAGAAACGTCCTGATTTTACAACTTTTGACTGAAAATCTTGACTTTTTTCTACTATGTTATGATCTATCCCTCGATGACTATACTACATAATTATTACCCATTTTTTGTTATAATCAGTTGATTTTCAAAATTTATATAGAAGTGTTTGTAGGCTATTTTCAACAAACGAAGAAAGATAATGATCAAATAATATTTATTTAGATTCATTCATTGTTCCTGTTTTTCCCATACTCGGTGCAAATATTCAATCAATCGAGTTTTTAAAACAGTTGGCACTGTGTTAGCAGCTGCTACAAGTACTTCAGCTATACCAATAACATCAAATCTATAATTCGTCATAACTGCAGCAAGTCTTGCACACCCTTCCTCCAACATTTTATCATATATTTAATAGTTAATAGTTGAATAGTTGAAAGCTCAAAAGAGTTTTAAAGCTCAAATCGACTTTTCGAGTTCTACACTACTGTGAAAATGCGCATTTTAAGTGAACTTTACGTTGCTGCACCATTGATTCCCTTTCTCATTGGATACTATTGCTCAACCAACCATGGATGTGGCCACGGGAGTTTGGCGGGTGGCAACCTACCACTTCACTTATGAAAAATTTTCATTTTATTCCAGCAGAAATTGTATTTTTAGTCCAAAATAAGATTTAAGAATGGAGTAAGACATTTTGCACCATTTTCTCCCGCTTTTAGAAAAATTGTGTATCCAGCTTATCAATTCTCAAAAATTTCTTTTGCACTCCTCTCTCCCACTTTTTCTCTTCGCCACTTTTCTGCAAGTAGTAGACGAAATTTCTGTGAGATTTTGTACTTAATATTAGAAGTGTGTGTTGTAGGTATTGTCATCAACACTTTTAAAAAACCTTCTACGTCATTTTCGACCCATGGCCATACTTTCCTTTACAGCAATAACGAAGAAGGGTTTTTGTCACTCCCGTGAGTCAAAAATTTGATTGAGAGCTATCACAAAATCAACCTTTAGAATATCGCAAGGAGTCACTCTCAACTTGATGCCAATACACAAAACCAAAATATTTGGGAGACTGGAAAATGACATTATCCGCCCTCCTTCTTTTTAGAATAGAGTTGATGTTTTAAAAATTCATCAAGCTTACTACCTGAGTGATCTCATTAGGATTATAGTTCTTACATAGAGGTAGGCACCAAAGTTCTTGACAGTTACACCGAAAACCACATCACGACATCTTTTTGCAGTCGAGAGTTATTGAAAAATTCAACAAAAAACTCAGAAAGTAAAGGTGAACTTTATAAAGTACGCTAGCACTCAAGGAGTTAACCTACTTCGACACTCAGTGAAGCAGCGTACGGTTTAATTTTGACTAACCATGATCGCTTTATCTACTTTTATGCAGATTTGATCTTTAAAAGCACTATAAGATTAAATATTACAATTTCTGATTTTTATATAAACAACTGATTTTTCTTAAAAAGTTTCCTGCCTATTTTCGTGATTTTGGAATAATTAATGCTGCGACCCCTGTCTTAGTCAAATTAGTATTATATCTGAAGTAAAATCAATTTTTTTATTTTTGTCTATTGGCATTCCGGTGCTTTCGAAAGCTTCATTTATAATTAGTCAAACTCAAACAAAGCAACTGCTTCTTTTTCAACCAGCACCTATGTTATCTAATCATGTAAAATTGTTTAAAAAGTTACGCAACACACATCTAACATGAATTAATAGTTTTTTCATAGAAATTCTATTGCTTGTTCAACTATCGATAGAATTAATCGTGGTTTACTATTTACCTACGTACATATGTATGAACAAAAACATTTTCATTTCTGTTGTCATGCTACATGAGCCAAAAACAACCTACTTTTATTTTCTTTGAAGATATTGCTTTCCAGTAAGAAAAATTGTTTAAATTTTGACTGTAATGTTCACCAGACTCTACACAAGGACTGCAATATTCGTAGTAGGATAAATGCGAAAATGTCCCATTGAGAGGCTACAGAATTTTAAAAATCATTTACTCACTTTTCTGACTAATAGCGAATGATTAATTCTACAATGATATTCAGTAACTTTCTTCGCTGAGCGGATTATTTTTAACTATAAGTAGGTAGGCGTCCTTACGTCCACATAATCTCTTTCATAGGGTATGAGTTGTACTTATCTATAGTGAATTTTTCAAAAGTAAGCTATACAACATAAATGATACTAAAAGAAATGGTGATGCATAGCTGCACTTTTCGTCACAAACGCTACTCATATGATGTTTGCTATTTGATTGAACAGTTGTACATGATATCAATCGATGATGACCCATTGTCTTTCTTCAAGAGCTACATAGTAAATTTCATGTACTGTAGAAAATAGAGCTTTCAATTGCTTTTTAACAAGTAAAAGAGTGTGTAAACACGCAGTTTTCAGAATAGTAATTATAGAACATGGTTTCCATTCAATAATCGTAGTGTTGTCAATTTCTTTGTTATAAAGTAAATAATAATCCGCTTCAATATACTCATTGATTGATAACATTTTTTTTGTGGTGGCATAATGTCAATATTTTTTAAATTATTATCAATTGTGAACTGTATATTCTGTAAAATTTGCGTAATTTTTTTTTCATCTTTTCATAGAAAACGATGAAAATATAATCAATTGCCTTCTGTTTCATAAACACACCTACAATAATGAAATGTCTGTTTTCGGTTGATGACTTTCAAGTCAAGTATTCCATTACTAATTGAAATTAGTTCTTTTGTATGCATGTAATTGTTCAATGATAATGGGTGATCGAAAAGTAATTTGATGAACTGCTCTTTCATTTCTCACTGGCTTAAATGAGTCTGTAGAGATTTGCGATCATTTTCACTAGGATCAAGATTTTGCGCTGTTTCCTATTTTAGATTTAACATTTCCTTCGAACTCCTAGTTGCGGAGCAAAAAATGGACGATCATTTTGTCAAACGACTTTTTAATCAACCGTTAGTTCTTATATTTTCATCAAATGAATCATAATTACATTGATGTATTATTCGAACATTTACTAAATATTTTTGCACTTTCATTCTTGATGATATGTTATCTAATTTTATTTTCAATTGGATTGCTAATATGTTTCTGTAATTATTGAATGAAGAACCTTGTTTATTAAATGTTTTATACAAGGTTCACATTTTCTTTTTTCAACAGGAAACTTTCGTATTATACAATATAAAAAGTAGCAAAAGACGATTTTAAGCATTAGTGTATGAGTAATTCAAAATTTTTCTTTGTCTTTACTAAACGTTTCAATTCTTCGATACGAGATTTAGGTAGTTTACAATTTTCTAAATTCAACGTTGTTAATGATTGATTTTTTTTTAGCATATCAACAAGAATGGTAAGATTTGTATCATTAGCAAATTTATTCCATTCAAGTGAAAGTACTTGTAAAGTTTTGTTCTTTTGCAAAAGCACTTGACATAATATTTCTAAACCTTGATCAGTTATTTTATTTGATGCTAACCATAAATGAGTTAATGTTTCATTAGATTCCAACATTTTTGCTAAATATTGAATACCTTGATCTGTAATACCATTATGAGAAAGAGAAAGTTCTTTCAGAGTTGAATTATTATCACCTGAAAGTGCTCGAGCTAGATATTTTGTTCCATCATCATCAATTTGATTTTGAGCCAGAAATAATCCTTCTAATGTATCATTATCACGTAAAGCTTCAGAAATGATATATGTTCCTTCAGCTGTTATTTTACTTTCTCTTAAAAATAAAGTTCGACATTGTTTATCAATCATTACTTGTTGAACAACGATTTTAAGATCAGATTGAGTAAGATTGCTTCCATTTAAGTAAGCTGCAGCTTGAGGCTTGCATCGTTGAATACATTCATTAAGCTTGGTATTGCGATTACGTTCTAATTTAATGTTACTTACCAACGGTGTTAGTATCTTACTTGTCCACGTTGATGTTTTTTTTACATCTGGAATTTCTTTTTCTGAAGATACAGGTTCCAATAGAACATATGGTGATTCGATTTCTTCAAGATGAATAACATGTATATTATTTTCTTGTTGTTCATAACGAATAACTTCAATTTGAGTAGCAGGTAAAAGTAATAGCTCGTTTTCTTTTTTGAAATATGAATGGTTTCGAATATCTTTTCCTTTCATACAATCAATAATAAACAATGTTCTTATACCAGTTTGTCCAAGAAAATGATCGTCTTCGGAAATCTGACGACTTGTTGAACATGATGAAAAACCCCACCAAACAAGTCTTTCTCCTACTTTATATTTTTCATGTTCACTTTCAATTATATCTTTAACTCCACGATAAACAGTTACATTTACTGATGAAAGACGAGATAAAGCAGTAAAGATAAGCTTAAGATAAAGAAACCATTGTTTCAAACTTTTTCGATCTTCATTACGTAATGTTTGATTAAGAATATAATAAAGTGATTCTGTATGTGGCTCCCATTCCATTGTATATAATGCAATTGAAGCTGATTCATCAACTGAAAGACCATCTGCTGGATGTTTAGCACGTTGTTTGGCTACATGTACGAATGTCTGAAGACGAGGGACAATATTGTGTAATGGTTCTGTAGCTTTTTCAAGTGCCACTAATGGTTGTATGTTAAAACCTTCAATTGGTTGGAACATAATACATGGTTCTTCAGCCACATCAGAAAATCTATGACTAGTATTTTGTAAGTTATCTACAGGCATTTTCGAATGATAAATTGCAGTTTAATGCATCACACTATAAGAATAGAATAGTAAAAAATGATGATATATTTTAGTTGGAAGAATCGATGCGTAACAAACTATTTGTAGAAATGAAAAAAAAATCGTTGATTTTTATGTTTTTTTTTAGCTGGAATATAAAATGTTTTTATTAATATTCTCACGTGGTGAGGAAGTGTAATATTTGCTTATATTTTTTGTTTTCGCTTGATTGATTCAATCGATAGATTGGATATTTTTTAATGATATTTTTACCATGTCACAGTTCCGTGTCTGTGTTACCAATCGTGCTGTTATATTAATTCAAGCGATAGCCGTAAATATAATCTTTCCTTGCTGCAAAAATTTTTGTTTGAATAGAATGAAACATGAGTTAATTGAATAAAGAATTTTACTTTTTCATTTTCAAATTGAAAAACGTAAATCTAGTATTCTTTCTAATTTTTGATTAGCAAAACTATGAAAAAGGTCAATCGATCAAGTAATCGATGATCCATCGTCTAGTTACTCTAGTTGAAAAAAAATTGAACTTCTTATTTAATTCATACCTGTATATTAGAGGATAGTGATGAGTACGAAGATTTTCTGTTACCTGTTTTTGACAGAATGTGTTTTTCTTTGTTTATTCAAATGAAATGTCAGAATCTTGAAGTGAAAAACATTAACATTCTTGTGATACAGATATATTTTTAGATGTCTTTTAAGTGAATTTTTTAACTTAAATTTATTTCAAAATCTTTTGTATGAGTCACACTATGAACGGTAGTTGTGTTTTATCATATGCTCGTTTTTATTCACGAAGAATATTCTTGCCCTACTGTGTCGATTTGAAATTAGAAGCTTAGTCAATAGCATTTAAAATACTAAGCGAAATAGTTTTATTATACGAAAACCAGGAGTTGTATTTGGGTGTTGTACATGAAGGTGGGTATCTACTCCTTATTTTCAGCTGCGCTCACACATCCACATTTAAGATTCGACATTTGTGTTGCTGAATTGATGATCGCCTCAAAAATTCAGAATTAAATGAATTTTCCGCAAAATTTCTTGCAAGAACGAAATCTGGTGTTGCAGAGTGCTTTCTGATATTGCAAAAACAAAGACTTTGATGCTGTCGGTTCGGTAGCTTCTCTTCTGTTGGGATATTTGTAATTACTTTTATAGTTACGTAAGGTTTTAATACTTGAATTCACTTTTTAGGTAGAAAACATTCAGAGACTTTTGTCTACGCTAATGTATTGCTCATAATACCTATTTTAATTTTGTTTTTTGTTCTGTCTTTATCGTGGCACCAACGAACAGCTTTATGTCCTTGATGATTCAATGTTGTTATTGTTTAGTGAATCCAACGACAAATATAAGGATTACCAGACTTGCAATGAAACTCTTATTCCAATTACAATCATAACTGAAGTAAAATCCATTTTTTATTTTTGTCTATCGACGTTCCTGTGCTTTCGAACGTTTCATCTATAATTAGTCAAATTCGATCGAGGCAACTGGTTCTTTTCCAACAAATACCTATTTTACCTAATCATGGAAAAGTATTTAGGAAATTACACAAGACACATGTAACATAAATTGATAGTCTTTTTTCTCAGAAATTCTATTGCTTGTTCAATTATCGACAGAATTAATCGTGGTTTACTATTTACCTTCGTACATATGTATGAACAAAAACATTTTTATTTCCATTGCTATGTTACATGAGTCATGAGTCAAGAAAAATCTAGTTTTGTTTTCTTTGAAGAGACTGCTCTCGAGTTAGAAAAATTGCTTAAATGTTGACTGTAATGTTCATCAGACTCTACACAAGGGCTGTAAGATTCGTAGTAGGATAGATTCGAAAAGGGTGTGGGTGTTCCCTATATTAGTACCCACACACACACACCCACACCCTCTTTTAGGATGCTACTAGATTTCTTGACAGAATCTCTGTAGGTTGGTCTAAACAGAAAGCAAAAGGAATGAACGCATAGAGTATTGATCTCTAGACCATCAGTTTAGAAACCGATTAGTTTGTCGCAGTGGACTGTACCATTTTATTTAAGTTAACTTAAACTTTTGACATTGTATATTCTTTCTGCACTATTAACTTGGAATGCTATGTTGTTTGTCGAGGGACACTTTAGTCGACAGACTTTTCGTCGAAGTAACTTTGTCGAAATTTTTTTGCAGAACAACATTTCGTCGACACAACAGATAAAAAAGGGTGTGAACGTGGGCGTGCGGATGGATGTGAGTGCGATTGTGTGGGTTTTCGGATGTGGTGTGGATAGGTGGGTAGGTGTAGATATCGGTAGGAATGCATTACCACCGATACTTGCACCTCACACCCACACGCCATCCACACCCACGCTCCACCTATGTTACAGTGTATTTTCATAACATATACATCGATCCTCTCTATTCTCTTCTCTTTGATATTTTCGTTTCTGTCTTTTCGTTTCTTTAACTTCTTTTCTTTGTCCTTGATTAACCTTTGTCTTCTCTTCTATTTTGTCCATGTTTTTCGTGTGCGTATATAAACTCTTGTTTTGTAAAAGAATAAACTACACACACACGTTAACTGTGTTCGTCGCTCTTCGTGAGCGCGAACACTAACAACCTACTACCACACCTACACCCTTTTTTTGATATGCTGCGTCGACAAAAATTTTTCAACCAACAACATACCATTCACTTGCATTTAAAATTTATGTAAAAATAAATTATTTCAAGAAAAAATCGAATGACTTAATATATTGATTTTTTTTATCATGAGATGCTATATAGTATTGGGTGTTGATTTTAGTTTGTATAAAAAAAAAGTATTTTTCTGAGTTTCTTAACAGAAATAAATTAAATCCGGTGGACATTTTTACTGAAGGACTCGTCTTTGTTATGTCCTGCATCTTTTTCAGATGCAGCCATAAGGATTTTTTCTCTTCATCTATAGAATTATGCGTAGAGTGCATGCACCTAATAAGAACGGGACTTTCGTAGGGTCGTGTTTTGATTGTAATATCTCTGTGAAACAGTCAGTAAATGAGCTTAAATTTTACAACAAAGTAAAAAAAATGTCATGCCTATCTATTGATGAAAAAAGTTTTCAAAAAAAGTTCAGAAATGATCGAGTTATGAACAGTAGTTTGAAGTCGACTGATGCCGTTATAAATAAGAGCACTTTTCTCAATAAGAATGCTAATGCAAAAGTTGTCCCTAATTAGAACACGTCAGCAAAACTACATAGAATAACGTTATTCTATGTAGTTTTGCTGACGTGTTCTAATTAGGGACAACTTTTGCATTAGCATTCCCACTGAGAAAAGTGTTCTTATTTATAACGGCATCAGTCGACTTCAAACTACTGTTCATAACTCGATCATTTCTGAACTTTTTTTGAAAACTTTTTTCATCAATAGATAGGCATGACATTTTTTTTTACTTTGTTGTAAAATGTCAGCTCATTTACTCACTCTTTCACAGAGATATTACAGTAAAACGTAACCCTATGAAAATCCCGTTCTTATTAGGGACATGTATTGTATGCATTTTTCTTTTTTTCTTTTTCGTTTGTCTTATTGTTAATGACGCGTCAAAAATTTTTTTTCTTTTCTGTCATATATGTATATGTGATGACTTTTCCCATTGTTTCATTTGTATTGTTGGTGGGTATTTCCTTTGCATTTGAACTTCTCTCTTTAATTTTGTTTTACAAATCTTCTTTTCTTCTTCATAATCTAGAGGATTTTCGCATGTTACTGCCTTGTATATATATTCGTCATATTGTTGAAAAAATTGATTTGTTTTTGGAGCCGAAAGCAAAAATATAAAGGAATAAAGTAAAGTGAGATCAAGATCTTACATTTAGGTGTAAGTCTAGAGCGGATTATGATGAAGAGGATTTGAACAGTTTCTGATAAAGTTTTGATAAAATCTAAATAGAATTATTTCTGATATTTCTGCAAAAGTCCTGAGTAAGATCAAGAGTGAGCTATAGTAGAATCCTTCATTCTTAAATAACAATAAAAAATCTCAGCAGAAACTTGAAAAGATCCTTTATGGAGGATTCTCTTTTATTATAGCATATCATGTAAAATCTTCAGATTTAGGATCTTGAAACATTCTTTTAGGCTTTCTAACAAAAAAAAAAGGATTGAGACTAGAGTAGCAGATTGTCTTCAGTTCTGACACATCCTAAGCTAATGGATAAAAAGCGGATCTTGGTGGATTCTGGAGTCCTAATAGATTGTGGAATAGATTTACTGAAGTGTACCAAAAACTGTCATAACGTACGGTGATCGACTACAATTCAACAGAATCCATCACGATACGCCAAAGTTATCGAGACACATACGCATCTCAGTGTCCTGCATCTGCTTTCTCTTCTTAATCGCAAATTCTGAAGCTAATTATCTCTTTTCTCATTTAGTCTCTTTTGATCCTAGTAGATCTTTCTATCCATTAGATTCAGCTTTTTTCCTTTTGCATTTAGTTTTTTAAAGCAAAAAGCACAATAAAAAGTAGGTTTTATATAAGACAATTGTTCATAAAAATTCTATATTAATGAATTTGAGAATAATGATATATAATTGATGCTTAAAAGATTGTTATTTCATGAACGACGTGCATCTTTCAAAATTGGACGAAAGAAAACTGATCACTACGAAAGTTAACCGAAAAAAAACTTCATAATAAAAAAGAAGAAATAGCTTGTTTCAATTAAAACCTTTATTTGAAAGAAATAAGTTCAACAGATAAAAGAGAAAAAATGAGCAAAAAAAACTACTCAACAATTTTGACATTATTACAAATATGTTTGGTTTTTCTGATATTTGTATATTGTCAATAATTATAATTTTTCATAAAAAAAAAAAGAATGTGATGAGGTTATAAGTAGACAGTCATCGAAAAAGTCTTGTTAAACTTATCCAGTCTCAGTCTCTGATTTGTAACTATTGAATGAAGAACAGTTTATCAATGTTTTACATTTCCTTTATTCAACAGGAACTTTTTGCATTATAAACGTAGAAAGAACAACAAAACACTATTTTAAGCATTAGTTTATGAGTAATTCAAAATTTTTCTTTGTCTTTACTAAATGTTTTAATTGTTCGATACCAGATTTAGATAGTTTACAGTTTTCTAAATTGATTTTTGTTAATGATTTATTTTTGTTAAGCATGTCAAGAAGAATGGTAACACTTGTATCATTTCGAAATTTATTCCATTCAAGATGAAGTACTTGTAAAGTTTTATTCTTTTCCATAAGTACATGACATAACATGTGTAAACCTTGATCAGTTATTTTATTTGATGCTAACCATAAATGAGTTAATGTTTTATTTGATTCCAACATTTTTGCTAAATATTCAATACCTTGATCTGTAATATCATTATGACATAAAGTAATTTGCTTCAGAGTTGAATTATTATCACCTGAAAGTGCTCGAGCTAGATATTTCGCACCATCATCACCAATTTTATTATGAGAAAGAAATAATTTTTCTAGTGTATTATTATCACGTAGAGCTTCAGAAATGATATATGCTCCATCAGCTATTATATGACTTTCTCTTAAGAATACAGCTCGACATTGTTTATCAATCATTACTTGTTTAACAACAATTTCAAGATCAGCTTTAGAAAGTCGTCTTCCATTTAAATAAGCTTCAGCGTCAGATTTACATCGTTGAATAGATTCATTAAGCTTATTATTACGATAACGTGCAACCATTGTGGGAAATATTATTGGTATTCGTATCTTACTTTGTGATCCTGATATTTTTCTTAAATCTTGAATTTCTTCCTCTGAAGATATAGGTTCTAATAGAATATGTGATGATTCGATTTCTTCAAGATAAATAATACGTAAATTATCTTCTTGTTCTTCATAACCAATCACTTCAACTTGAGTAGCGGGTAAAAGTAATATTTCATTTTCTTTTCTAAAATATGAATGATTTCCAACATCTATTCCTTTAACGCAATCAATAATAAATAATGTTTTTATACCAGTTTTTCCAACAAATTGATCATCTTCGGAAACATCACGATTTGTTGAACATGATGAAAAACCCCACCAAACAAGTCTTTTTCCTACTTTATATTTTTCATGTTCACTTTCAATTATATCTTTAACTCCACGATATACAGTTACATTGATTAATGGAAGACGAGATAAAGCCGTAATGATAAGCTTAAGATAAAGAAACCATGGTTTCAAATTTTTTCGATCTTCATTACGTAATGTTTTATTAAGAATATAATAAAGTGATTCTGTATACGGTTCCCATTCCATTGTATATAATGCAATTGAAGCTGATTCATCAACTGAAAGATCATCTGCTGGATGTTTTGCACGTTGTTTGGCTATATGTACGAATGTATGAAGACGAGGGACAATATTGTGTAATGGTTCTGTAGCTTTTTCAAGTGTCACTAATGGTTTTTTGTTAAAACCTTCAATTGGTGCTAACATAATACATGGTTCTTCAGCCACATCAGAAAATCTATGACTAGTATCTTGTATGTTATCTGCAGACATTTTTGAATGATAAATTGCAGTTTAATGCATCACACTATAAGAATAATATAGCGAAATATTATGACATATTTTCGGTGAAAGAATCGATGCATAGTAAATAATATGTAGAAAAAAAAAATCGTTGGTTTTTTCCTATTGGTTTTTATTTTTTTCGACTTGAATATAAAATGTTTGTATTAGTACTTTCACGTGGTGGGAAAGTGTTATATTTGTATTTTTTTTTCGTTTCTTTTTTCATATTTACCTATCAAGCTATTTTGATATTTTTCTTCATTATATTGTAATTGTGTCACAACTTCGTCTTTGTCTAACCAATCATGTGATTGTATTTGTGCAAATCGAAAACTTATATATAGTGTTTTTCTTTACTACACAAATTTTATTATGAATACAATAAAACACAATTTCATTGAAAAAAGAATTTTACTCTTTTGTTTTTAAATAGAGAAATGTATATCTAGTATTGTTTTTAATTTTTGACAAGTCAAGCTGTGAAAAAGATTAATTGATCAATTAATCGATGATTTATCGTGTGGTTACTGTTCTAGAGGAAACATTCAATATCATAATTAAATCATATCTGAATATTAGAGGATTGTGATGAGTATGGAGTGTTTCTGCTTATAAATCTTCTTTTAACTGTTTTTGTGAGAGCATCTTTTGTTTTTTTTTTGTTCATTCGAATAAAATGTCAGGATCTTTAAGTAAAAAACATTAACATTCTTATGATGCAGATATATTTTTAAATGTCTTTTAAGTGAGTTTTTTAATTTTTGTTTGTTTCAAAATTTTTTGTATGAGTCACACTATGAAAGGTCGTTGTATTTTATGATATGCTCATTTTTATTTATACGGAATATTCTTTTCTGAATGTGTCGATTTGACATTAGAAGCTTAGTAAATAACTTGTAAAATAGTAGGCAAAACAGTATTATTGTACGAAAGTCAATTAATATGAATGTTCGTACATGAAAAGTGAAAGAAAAGTTTAAAAACAAATATTAAGATTGATCAAAATAACTAATTTTATTAAAAAGACCAGCAAATATCTAAATGCACGATTGTTGTTATTCATTTTGTGACAGTTCACACAAGTATTCCTGATCATTTTCATTAATTTTAATTGATATTTACGATAATAATAATACATTTCGTCGAACAATATCAACAGGCTATGCATTGGTTTAACTGATGAAGAAAATGTCAGTCATATGAAATGTCGAGAATATAAATCATACACGTCTTCCGAATTCAAAAAGAAATAGGTTTCAATACTACTATATAGAAATTAACGAAGGTATCTAACGAAGACCGAAATCAAATGCAGTAGATACAAAGTGAAAACGACTTGATATGTTGAGCATTGAATATGATTGGATGAGGGCGAGTGTAGGTATGAATTAAAATGAAGAATAGACATTCGTATTCGAGTTTGAATCTGAGTGATCGTAAAGAATGTTCTGTGAATCAATGTCGAAGTTAAAGGAGAAAAAAAACAGTTAAGTAATGAACAAAAATTCATTGCTTTATAGTTTCATAAATGAGATTCAAGGCAAAACATCAGAAAGACAGTCGTAATAAAAAAAATTTCGGAGTTGACCTCGAAAAATTTGACTCTACAGAGTTCTTATCCAAATGCACATGCACATATGCCAGATCTTTCGATATGATAGAAAAATTTTCAATTTTGAAACTTTTTCTTTCTGTATTCAATCTTTTTGAATATTTGACTGGAATTTAATTATAACCCATTACTACATGTAGTGTTCTTCTTTGTTTCTTTGAAATTATTGAGTAGATTTGTGTCACAAAATTATTCACAGATACTTTAGTATACTGGCCAATAGAGAGCTGCATTTTCATGGTAACCGAGTCCGGGTCTAGACCCGGTGGTTTTTTCATGGGGGTGAAAATTTGAAAAATGATCACGTAATATTTGAATCAACTCTCTGAAATGGCTGGAATGGGGTGAATGTGTCAAATATTACGTGATCTCTTTTTCAAATTTTCACCCTCATGAAAAAACACCGGGTCCGGGTCTAGACCAGACCGGGTCCGATTTGCAGCTCTCTACTGGCCAAGCTTACCAGATCTTCCTGTATGGAAGGAAAAATCCGAGTTTTAGACTTATTTCTGATCGCCGACTTTTTACAAGGAAAAGTTCACTTTTTGGATACTGTGCTGCACTCGAGAAAACTCTGAATGAGTTTTTACTATCACATTATGACTATAGTTGAAACGAATCTGTCCGTTTCACGGTTTTGTATTATATAGTCATAACCCATAGAAAATGAGGAAAAGTCAAATTGTTAACAATGAAGATTTCTATAAAGTTTTGCGGAACTCACATATATTTTCGAAGAAAATAATGAATGTAAGTTGTAAGATCAGGTTTTCGTTGTTCCCGCCTCCTCTCCTCAAAATATCTAATTCATAGTACTTTGGATCTTTATAAAAGTATTTAATAGCACTTTTTCAAATCATGCAGTGTAGTAAAATTAATTTTTATACTTTCAGAAGTACTTGCATTGCTTACTTAAAGTGTTTATGTAATTAATAGCATTCTATCGGATTATTAACATCTCTCTATATATATTGTTTTGGAATATAATTGAATTATTAGATTTTCTTGTTTAAAATGTTTCGATGTTTTAAACACACTTTGTCTCTCACTTGTAAAAAGATCTGTTTCAGATCAAATTATAATAAAATAGGCGTCCGCTTAACAAGCTATACTTCAAGTTGGAAAAAGCACATGAAATGTTATTTTTCCTTTTCGATGTTTGAAATAGAGAAACTTTTCAATGATATCAATAATTTGTATTTATGGAAAAAGTGAGTAGTGAATTTTAAATAAAAAGTATTATCCCCGAAGATCAAAGTAAAACATAGTTGACTTTTTGTTTCATTATTTCTACTTATTTCCAGTACTTTCTTTCACTAGTTGAAAGATTTTCTCATTAAATAAGTACTTAATATTATTTCACAACTATTTTAGCAAATACATGTCATATGTATGTATATTTGTAACAGGGATCAAATCAAATAAGAAAATATTCCAAGTCAGTTTTCATATCAATTATTGAATCAAGATATGTAGCAGAGTAATAAATCGTGAAATATGCAATTACCTATAACTGTACTACTGATCATGGGATCGAAAAAGCAAACACTCATCATACCAATAATAGAACTCTCTATCCATGAGTTGACTAAGAGAATGTAACAACATCGACAATTGTAAATATTGTATAAAATTAGAAAGCCCTATTAGATATGTGGGAAGAGAAACTGCTATTGTTTTCTTTTCTACTTTTGTTAAATTTTTTCAGTTAATTATTAGCTTTAAAAAATATCATTCAGTCAATTTAATTAGTGTCAATTACAAATTTACACTTCAAAGTTTGAATGTTTGCTCATCTATTCTGAATTTCTCAGGTATTTTTCAAAGCAAACAATTTTCCTTCGATATTTTTTTACATTTATCAAGTTCAAGTCTTACTCCTTAGCTGTTCAGCTAAGTTAATTAGCACTATCATTCAGCAAAAAATTGAGATTTATCATCAGCATTTAATCTTGTCTTTTTTTAATAATAATAAAAATGATCTGTATTTTGTTGTTACTTTTCTAACTATGATAGAATATGTTTTAACTTGTTCTGTGTTTAATTGTTGCTTTTTCCGAAGAAAAAATCGAATAAAGGCATCTTCTTTCGATTCGATTTCAGTCTCTAATCTCTAGTTAATAAACGAAGCTCAAATTCATTAATGTTCTATCAAAAGTTTATATTGATTTTATTCAATAGGAAATTTTTATATTACACATGTAGAAAGAAATAAAAAAACAATGTTTTATACATTAGTTTATAAATAATTCGAAATTTGTCTTTGTTTTTGTTACAAGTTTTAAATCTTCAACACCAGATCTAGGTAGTTTACAGTTTTCTAAATTCAACGTTGTTAATGATTGATTTTTTTTCAGCATATCAACAAGAATGGTAACACTTGCATCATTACGAAATTTATTCCATTCAAGTGAAAGTACTTGTAAAGTTTTGTTCTTTTGCATAAGCACTTGACATAATAGTTCTAAACCTTGATCAGTTATTTTATTTGATCCTAACCATAAACTAGTTAATGTTTCATTAGATTCCAACATTCTTACTAAATGTTCAATACCTTGATCTGTGATACCATTATGACAAAGAGAAAGTTCTTTCAGAGTTGAATTATTATCATCTAAAAGTGCTCTAGCGAGGAAGTTGGTGCCATCATCACCAAGTTGATTATGAGAAAGAAATAATCCTCCTAATGTACTATTATCACGTAGAGCTTCAGAAAGGATCAATGTTGCTTCAGCTGTTATATGACATTCTCTTACAAATAAAACTCGACATTGTTTATCGATCATTAATTGTTGAATTACAACTTCAACATCAGATTTAGAGAGGCGTTTTCCACTTAAATGTGCTTCAGATTGAGGTTTGCATTGTCGAATACATTCATTAAGCTGTGCCATCCGGTAATGTGTAATTATCGTGGAAAATATTGGTGTTCGTATCTTAGTTTTCCGCATTGATATTTTTTTTGTATCTGAAGTCTCTTTTTCTGAAGATGTAGATCGCAATAGAAAAGGTGATGATTCGATTTCTTCAAGATAAATAACATGTAAATTATTTTCTTCTTGTTTAGAATTAATAACTTCAAAATGGGTGCCAGGTAAAAGTAATATTTCATTTTCTTTTCTAAAATATGAATGGTTTCGAATATCTTTTCCTCTAATAGAATCAATAATAAATAATGTTTTTATACTAGTTTCTCCAACAAATTGATCATCTTCGGAAACATGTCGAACTGGTAAACATGATGAAAAACCCCACCAAGCAAGTCTTTTTCCTACTTTATATTTTTCATGTTCACTTTCAATTATATCTTTAACTTCACGATAAACAGTTACATTTACTGATGGAAGACGAGATAAAGCCGTAATGATAAGCTTAAGATAAAGAAACCATGGTTTCAAATTTGTTCGATCTTCATTACGTAATGTTTTATTAAGAATATAATAAAGTGATTCTGTATATGGTTCCCATTCCATTGTATATAATGCAATTGAAGCTGATTCATCAACTGAAAGATCATCTACTGGATTTTTAGCACATTGTTTGGCTATATATACGTAGTTATCAATACGAGGAACAATGTTATATAATGGTTCAGTAGCTTCTTCAAGTGTTACTAATGGTTTGTTGTTAAGACCGTCAATTGGTGCTAACATAATACATGATTCTCCAGCTCCATCAGAAAACCTGTGACTAGTATCTTGTATATTATTTACAGACATTGTCGAATAATAAATTGTAAGTTAATGCGTCACACTATAAGAATAAAATATCGAAATATTATTACATAGTTTCGGTGAAAGAATCGATGCATAGCAAATAATATGTAGAAAAAAAAATCGTTGGCTTTTTCCTATTGGTTCTTATTCTTTTCGGCTGGACTATAAAATGATCTATTAATATTTGCACGTGTTTAGGGATTGTAATATTTATTTATAGTTTTGCTTTGCATTTTATTTACCTTTCATATGAGTTTGATATTTTTTTTTATTATACTTGTACTGTGTCACAACTAGTGTCCTGTAGGATCGATTTTTCTCTGTTGTGACATTTTCGTTTTCGGAATGCTTTCTAAATTCCTATGATAATTTTATTTTTCGTGTTTGAGAAAAACCAATACTACCAGACATTAGCTTCTGCCAACGTCACACTTTGCGCAACATGATATAGTTCTGATTTAAAAATAAAACTGCCATTGAAAGCACATTCTAGTAAGTTACGTCAATTATTATTTATACGTTGAAATTCATAAATGTTGAGTAACAAGAACTATTTCTTTCATCTATTGAACAATTGAAAAGAGAAATGATAATGCTATATTGTAAGATAATCTGAATAATGAATTAAATGACCTGATGTTTATTGATACGTATTTACTATTTTTCTTTTTATGAGTAAATGATGCAAAGATCTTTGTCAGAATGTCGAAATCTATTCCTCAGTAAAAAAAACATCGAATTGAGTTCGACATTTTGTTTTTCATTTGAAAAAACACAGTCTGAAGAGTATATACAAGAAGCAAAAACAAGTCAGAACAATGTTCAGGAACGTTCATATTTAAATATGTCTCTTGTTCTGGGTTCCTGCTGTAGACAAGACGAGAAATGTCGTTCCCGTGGAACAATGGTCATAGCTCTGTCTGTATGTTAGCAATCATATCATTGTATTTATGCAAATCGAAAACGCAAACATGATTTTTTTTTTGTGCGAAAAATTTTAACACTAATACAATGAAAAATGATTTCATTAGAAATAAAGTAAATTGTAAGTTTTCGTTTTTTTAAATAAAGAAATATATATCTAGTATTGTTTTGATTATTGACAAGCGAAATTATGAAAAAAGTCAATCGATCAAGTAAAACAAAAATTGGTTTGAATACTGATATATCGAAATCAACTAAACTGCTGATTGAAGGCCGAACTTCAATGCAGTCGGTGAAATTCAAAGACGAATTGGTATGTAGAATATAAGTTTGGATTAAAATGGAGAGTAGACATTAATACCATCACTAGATCTTTGCACCCGAGTGATCGTGAAGAATTTTTTTCGAAATTAATGTTACAGTTAAATCATTAAAACAGTTAAGTATTTCCACTATTATACAGTAACAAGTTTACTCTTCATATGTTAATCAACGAGTGAATACATATTATTTTATGGAATCAAAAGTTTCAAGACAAAAAGAAATCGAAAGAAGCATTCTTATCAACAAGTAGCACAAAAAAGAAGTATATATGACAGTCAAAAAAAAAATGTTGGAGTTTCTCTGAGTTGGACAACTTGATTTCGTAAGGTCATGACCTACACGCACACTCATATCCTCAAGCGCATAAATATGAATTTCATTTAACATGTATTTTTTGATTTTCTTGTATTTGTCGAAATCAGTAAATACCAACAGCATGTGTTTTTTTTCTATATTACTATAAAACAACATGTCTGTTTACTTCAAATGAATTTGAATTTTTATTTAATGTTATTGTGAATTATTGTATTTCATCATACATCAATCGAATGTTGAATAAATACATGAGATACAAGTTTGTATGAATTTAATTCCATTGTTACTCGTGCCTCACGTTGAAACAGTAACTATAATATAATAACTGTCAGAGATGAACTAATGTATTTAATAATGTTGTAAGAATTTCAATTGAATTTGTGCAGAAGGTTCATAATTGAGACTCGTAGCAAAATTCTATGTTCTTTATTGCTATGGATGATAGACATTTTCAAAGTAGCAGTAAAAACAAAAAATAGTTAAATTGTTTCAATATAAGTTAGTGTTGTTTTGTTGAGTTCTTTTTATTAGTATATGAATACTTGAAGGTCATCAAGCATCAACAATTATTAATGACTAAATACGGTTAGAATAAAAATCAGTGCCAACAATGAAACTCAAATTTAGTTAGAATCTAATGTTAGTGATCGAAAAAAAATCTTCTATGTACCTGTAAAAGAATTGAACAAATTGTTGCTAAAACACGGAAGAAGCTGATTGTGACTCTTGATATTTCGCAACTCTTTTATAAGTGTTTAAGCCATAAACTAATTTTAAACTAATACTGTTAAGTATTCTTAGTATTTTCATCTTTTCACATGCATAAAAGACTATTTATTCTGAAAGAATGTCAATAATTGTTGATAACATTTGAAAGACTAATAAAAGATAAGGTAGGATACAATCATTTATTGCATTTTTCATACATGGTTACTTTAAAAAGGATGCTTGGTTCGTCGTTTACATACATTGCATAATTTAATTTTGAATATAAATGATAATTCAAATACATGATATTATATCAAAAAAAAATAGATGAAGAAAAAATCTAGTCAACATTTAATTATAGCAAAAGCTAAATATAAATTTTATTTTAAGCATAAGTTTAATTTCGAAATAGAAGTTTACGTAAGCATTTAGTGGAGAAATTCTGAAATAATCTATAAATTGCAAGTTTTATTCATCAATTCTATTTTATTTTCCAAATATGAGAAGTTTTTTTTTCCATCTAAGATTTAGATTTAAGTCGTATGTTCCATGTCTTCATAAAAATGACATTTGCGAAATATATTTGGTATTATGTTTAAGCCCCCGACTCCCTCCTCAAAAAAAGTCGATCGTCGTCAGAAATTTTAAAATTGAGATAAATGCATGAGAAGATAGCCCGTCTTCAGATCTCTCATGAATGACAAAAGTTTTTATAGATTTCCGTCATCCCCTATTCGAAAAAATAAGTTATTTTCGCAAAAAAAACGAAAATCTTTTTCGTTTTTTCTCAATTTATGCTTTCTCAAATGTGCAAGCAAGAATTTTCCTTTCAGGCTCGTATAAGACCTCTGACTTTTTTTTGTCAGACAGAGCATGCCAAGATGCAGTGCACCAAAGAGTTCTTTTGTTGAATAAGCTTTTTTTATTATCATATAAGAGAATGCCTCTATAGAAACGGCGCTATTTTTTAGGTCTTTTTTTTTTAAGTCATTGAATTTGTCATCTCTGTTTTTCGCTTAAAACGTAAGTATTTAAACAAAAAGGACTCTTATAGACACTACATTCTGACAAGCTCTTTCCAACGAAAAAAAAATTAATATATAGAATAAGCCTGAACAGAGAATTTTGGGTGTGGATCTGGGTGTAGGGATGTGGGTATGAATACGTGAATCTTGGATGTGGGTGTTGTATGAACATGGGTGTGCGAGTGTACTTGTAGGTATCACACATCAGGGTGGGTGTCTACTCCTCATTTTCATCCTCACCCACCCTCATCGACATTTACACCCTGCTGAATCTCATGAAAAATCTACGAATTACCTGATTGACAATAACTGTCTTATTCAAATTACAATCATTGTTGAAGTAAAACTGATTTTTTGCTTTTGCCTATTGAGATGAATTATTCCCTTTTTGCCGAAATTTTTTTCGCCAACGTCCACTTTCACCGAAGTCCATTTTCGCCGATTCCAATATCGCCGACTAATTTTTTTGACCGAAAATTACCAAGTCAAATATGAATCATTCTATATTAAGAGCTTTTCCAATTTAATAAGTTTATTAACAAACTCATTAATTACCATCTGAGTTGGTAACTATCTGAGTTGGTAACTAAGAAGGTTAAAAACAGATGCCACCAGATGAAGATTTTATCTGTCTTAATTTTTGCATAAAATAGGATGTGGGTGTGGGTATGTGGGTCCTCGTATAATCCGATACCCAAACCCACACCCGCACTCTTTTTAACCGACTTAGTCACCAACTCAGATGGTTACCAACTCAGTTGGTAATTAATCAGTTTGTTAATAAACTTATTAAATTGGAAATAACTCTTAATATAGAATGATTCATATTTGACTTGGCAATTTTCGGTCAAAAAAAATTAGTCGGCGATATTGGAATCGGCGAAAATGGAAGTTACCATTGAGATTTCTATGTATTTTCGAAAGTTTCATTTACATTCTAACTCGAGCTAGGCACAGCTCCTTTTCCATCATTTACGTCTCTTATCTAGTCATGACAGAAACTATTTGAGAAACTAAGAAAAACACATGCAGCAAAATTTTGTCATTTTTTCTTGAAGATAGTGTTTTGATTGCGAAGAGACTCACTCATGGTTTACTTTTTACCTGGTTGCTTAAGAGAAAAGTTATTGTTATTTTTTTCGTCGCATGGCATGACTCATAAGTCAATGAAAGCCTGGTATTTTTTTTTCTGTTGTGAGACTTCTTTTGAGTTGGCAAAATCGTCTAAATATTGACTGTAATGAGTCAAACTCTACACGAGAAATACGATTTTCAACAAAGAAAGATTGCATGTAAAATGTCCCATAGAGAAGGCATCAATTTTAAAGAACAACTCAATCATGTTGCTGACTAAAAATGAATGACGAAATATGCATTCCTTCGCTGAAAGCAGAAGTGCTGATTTTTAGTTACGTGACATTTATCAAATCGTTATATTGACCGAAGAATTTCCAACAATAAGTTGGTATGCGTCATTTCTATCACCACTTTCTAGAGATAGAGAACTTCACTATGTGTCACTTCAACTGCACACAATTCCACACATATTTTCTAAAATACCATTTTAACTCTGATAAAAAAGAAAGTGTTTAGTTCGAAGCTAACTCCAAATCCGAGTCATGCAATGTTTACTATTCCATTTAAAAGTTATAAAAAAAATGTCACTTGATGATAATTTGTTCTTATTTGTCAAGCACCACATAGTGAATTCCATGTACAGTTGGAAACAGAATTTTCGTTTAATTTTTAATAAAGTAAAAGAATTTTTAAATATACGCTTTTGCAGATGACAGTTATAAAACATAGCTTGCATTCAGTAATCTTACAATTGTTGTTGATTACTATGTCCTAAAGGAAATGATAGTGTACCTTTATCAGAAAATTTGTGACATACGATTGAATCAAGATAAAAATATGATCTCCCGGCTATGAGTCTTCAAAAACTGTTATAATCGTAAAAAGTAGTTTTTTCGATACGTCGTATACTCAGAGCATCGCCACAATATTTAGCAATACTATGATCGGATGAGAAAAACACTGCAAGATTTTCGACAATCCTGATTGATGATCATCATTGAGCACGTAGTTATCGATAAAATTGAAAATAATCTAACATATTTTGCTCTCATGGATCTTATTACCAGAATTATTATCATTTTACTCTGATCCCAATCTGTAGAAAAATATTTATTAAAAACCTGCTTGATAGAATTCGAATCTGAAAATTTTTACATTCATATGTGTTGTATTCGTTAGATTATCTTAAAAACATCAACTGATATTCGTATTTCCTTATTGAGAAATTAAATATTCCATAAAAGTTGTTTGTCATAGTTTTCTGGTGAAAAAGAATTATCTTTAAAACTTTCGATATTCAGAGAAAGAATCTCATGTATTAGACTAAAACTTCAAATGTATTCTAATGCTCATGAAACCTATTTATGAGTTAAATTTTAATTTAAAATTTATTAATTGTACGTTTTTTCTAAATATATTCCAGAGACTAAAATTATTGACATCAGTTTCAATGAAGTTTTTTAAAATTTATAATAAATTGTTTAAACATTTGGATTAAAGCCAACCGAGAACATATATTATTGATATACAGCTAGTAAACATATAGTATTTGTAGTTTTTCAAATATAAACATCGATTATTTCGTTTTTTCCAGTTTCATCAAGATTGAAATTCATTCATAAACATGATACCATAATTAACGAAATGTTTGAAACAGTTATATCGTGAATTTTACGTTCACTTTAGCATGATTGAGTTGAGTTGTGCTGATGAAATAATTTCAAAAGAATTGTTCAATATGATAAGTATTATGAATGACATATTTCTGAATTCAATGAAATCAAAACTTCTCAGCTGTGAGATGATTGTTAACGATCGCATGACATATAATCTTCAAACAAGGGGAAAAGGTAACCTAGTCCAACACATTACTCATTTTATTATTCAAAGATATCGAAATTTTTTCTTTGAATTATTGCAGTTGAAAAATTCCATTTTTACTATACAATAATGAATCTTTTCTAGAATTTATCAAAACAATAAATGAGATCATGAGCTATGTCAGGAATCTTACTCAGGTTTCTTTAGAATACTTTATAAAAGTATTAGTGCATTTGTTGGTTTTTTCCTAGTGTTTTCAATGGTCGTAAACGTGGCCACGTGTGTGTAGACAGGATCACGCAATGTGTCGAAAAAGGTTTTTCTTTTTTTTTTCTTTTTCTTTTTGCCTCAAGCCGTAACCATGTTTTTTTCATACTCCATATAACAAATTGACTTGGGACTTTCCAAATACTTTATTTAATTCTTAGATTGCTAAGATATGCCTCATGCATGTATGTATATATATCTCGATGCAGTCATTCGTACTTTCATATTTTTGTAATACTTCTATTGAAAACTTATAAATTTATTCTTTCACCTACCATCGATATTTTATACATTTAAAATATACTCATTGTTTATGTCAAAGATGGATGCAAACGGCGATAAGTTGGGAATTGATATTCTTGAGGATATAGTGCTATCTGATTGCGATATTGATATGTTTTCTGATGATCAAGATCTGCCAACGTTCGATTTTGACAGTTCAGATAGTTTCATGCAAGAAATATTTACGTTATCAGATGAATTACAACCTACATTTAATCCAGCTGACAATGTTTCGTATGATATGACAACGAATTCAAGAGAATGGTTAGTTATGGATAAAGCTTCCAAGCGTCAGAGACCACCTCGTCTTTACGAATATCTTCTTCTTCTTCTTGAAAATTCACATTATACTTCTTATGCATCTTATACGAACAAATCTGAAGGTATTTTTCAAATTCATGAACCTGACAAGGTTGCCGAACTTTGGCAAAAAGTCAAAAGTCGACAATCAAATCAAAAAATGACTTATGATAAATTTGCGCGGGCCGTACGATGGTATTATCAAGCCGGTATAATGAAAAAAACAAATACTCGTTATACATTTCAATTTTCGCTGAAAACAATGAAAGAATTTAGTATCGATCAAGATAATAACAATATGTTGCCCTATCCTAATATGATCCAGTGACTAAGAGAATGATCTTGAAAATTTAATATTGTAAATTTTTCTGTGTTGTATATATACTGATGCTTTTAAAAAAATTGTACGAACTTTATTAGATAAATTACACAATATTTTAAGTAACACAAAGTAATATTGCGTGTATCACTCGATTTATAATAGAGGCATGTTTTGGTAATTGAGGCCTGTTAAATGCTAAAATCTTTTGAATATTGTTGCAGATTTTGTGTGCACTATAAAGTACTAATATAACAACAAGTCTTAACGTAAATGAGCTACTTCGTTAATTTCGAACTCAAAATTAATTACAGATGTATAGCAATATACATTGATAAGCTGTGTAACCAATGAAAACCTCAACAAAGTTTTGATGTTATATTTGCAGCCAATGACAATATGACACAACAAATGTATTTAAGTCATGACGCAAAAAGAAATGTTGAAATTGGAAATTTTTTCTACCCAGTCGTCAATGTTCGCAGAAACTTATGTTGGTTTTTTTAACAATACTTCTTCGACAATTATTCAACTTAATTATTCTCAGAAATTTTTTACTATCGCAAAACACTGATATACAGTGGGTCCCAAAATTATTCAACAAGATGTAATTTGCATTTTTTTTCGTAGCCCTAAGTGCTAGAAAGAGTCAAAATAGTGATTTGAATAGAGAATATTGTTGTCAACAAGAATTTGAGAAAATGACAACCGTCATGAATTTTTCTAAAGTAGGATTTCTGGAAAACCAAAACCCTTGTGTTGACAGTCTAAAATTATACAGCAGGCAATTCTCTACAAAATGAGATGTCTTCGAGCATTCTACAACGTTCCCTTCAAAAGTTATAAGCGTTGCAAAAATCGAAGAAATGCATTTTTAGTCGATTTTCTCATAAATTTCACTTTTTTCCGATTTTGGTGACGTTTATAACTTTTGAAGGGAACGTTGTAGAATGCTCGGAGACGTCTCATTTTGTAGATAATGGGCTGCTGTATAATTTTAGACTGTTAAAACAAGTTTTCTATTGCGGCTTCTGAATGTTGAAAAATCAGGGTTTTGGTTTTCCAGAAATCCTATTTTGGAAAAATTCATGACGGTTATCATTTTCTCAAATTCTTGTTGACAACAATATTCTCTATTCAAATCACTATTTGGATTCTTTCTAGCACTTAAGGCTACGAAAAAAAAATGCAAATTACATCTTGTTGAATAATTTTGGGACCCACTGTAGGTATTACGCAACTACTCCACATTTTCAACTAAAATTGCCATTTTTAGAAACTTTGTAGAATACATTATGCCAAAATTAAGATATATGATTTACAAAAGAGACAACTATGAGATTATTAAAAAATGATTTCTGTTTTTTATCCATGAGAGTTGTATGTCATGATGATGTGCTCGATGACGGATTCGGGGGTGAGGGTACTGAGTCCCACCGATTTCAAGACTTTGTCTCACCCACTAGGTGTGATGTTTGACAAATATCGATGAAAATTGATGCTATTGAATAAAATGCATTCAAAAATTTTCACACGAATTAGTTGAACAGAGATTGTACGTCATATAAAGGCAACTCGAGTTGGCATTAGGCGATAATGACATGATAAGAAATTAGACATTATCGTATAAACGTATTGCTTGTTAAAATTTACGCATAGATCAACACCCACATAGAAAACTGTTTCAGAAGCAATTATGTTGTAGACAAAAGAGAAATAATTTTTATGTATTAGTTTTTTTCTTTACTCATATAGTTGAATTAAAAAAGTCGATTGTATTCTTGATCAACAGATTCCTAATAAAAAATGCAATTATTGATATCATTGTCGCCCACTGATAATCGGAGTTATCAAATTACTTTGCACAGATGAAACTGTATCTGGTCGATCTGAGATAATATTGATTTATTGAAAAGACCAAGATTCTATTTCAATAGTTGTTTCATTAGTGAGTCTTCTAGAACTGTTCTATAGGGATTAAACGGTTAACCGCCATCTTCACCGACATGTTGAAACCTTAGTTCTGAACAAAGTGTAATGTAAAATCTTAAAACTAATGCATTTAAACCATTGAGAAAGATAGACGTTCGACAATCACTAGTGACCTTTTATTACATCTAATGGCAATTGTAATTTCGATACACAAGTGAATAATAATGATTCCAGGCATTAGTCACTTACCTACTAGTTGAATGTGAAGTTTTTACAAAAAGAATCTTGCACGATTTGATTTTTTTTTTCTTCAAAAATGATGCCACAAAAACAATCACGATTGCATAATCTCATGAATAACCGATTTATATTGACATAGTGAAATATTACAGTTATCAAGTACCTTTAAAACAGTTTATTTTAGTTTGATCAATTTTTTTAGGACTACAATCATACCCAATTGATATGCTATCGCTACTTGAATACGCATCGTTGACATTTGTAGATAAGCCAAATGGTAACGTCCAACAAATCTTCATTCCAGAATCTGTTTCTCATACAGCAATAACACTATTTAAAAGATGTCACTAAAAATCACTATACTAATGTTAATATTAAAGATAACAAGTGAAAAAAGGTCCGTTACAAAACGTCTTTCGGATAGAATGCACTTGGTAAAGATGTATATGAGAAATGGGTGTGATGTGGGTATGATTGGGGTATGGTTAGAATAGAGACCTCACCCTCACCCATACCTATCTTAAAAAATTCCAATTCTCATCTTTTACGCCCAACATAGTATTTTTGAAAAAAGTATTCTTTCTTAGCAAAAAGAGGACATTGTCCAAAACCTATGCATAGTTTTCTTGGCATATAACGGGTGTCCCAGAATAAATTATACCATTCGTATTTTGAGTATAACTCTTCTATTATCTATTAGATCGGGACATCTTTTTATACTAAAAGATAGCGCTTGAAATTCTCTACAAAATTATATATGACTAGTCCCAAAAACTGTCTTAGATATATTTGAAAAAAGATGAAAAGTAACGACATATAA